TTGGAGCGAATTCTTCAAACTATTTGTTGTTTATTGTAACCTGCAATTTGAAACGAAAGATGATTACTAGAAACAAAAAAAAACGGAATACAAAATGAAACAAGATTGAATAGAATATGCAGTCAGATGTAATTTAAGAGTATTATGCATTTTTGATTAAGACGTTAACTAGATTTCATTTTTGGAAATTCTGCACAACTTGCATTTCTAGTAAATAGTCGTAATTCCTACGCAATATTTTTTTAAACATTAAAGCTTTCGGCGATTTTATTAACATAATTTATAAAAAAAAATAATGATCATAAATTAATATTTTGGCGGAACATGTTTTTATTAAAGAAACTACGTTTGTAACCTATATTTATAGTTTTTTTTATTATAAAACTTTTAATTTATAAATACACAAGAAAATTACATTATCTTTAAAAAGACTGTTTAAAAGAAGTTTACAAGTTTCTTAGTAAACAACAAAAAATTAGAAACAAGTTGACACTTTTCTCATTATACCATATACCTACATATATTATAAGTATATATTCATTGTTGATACATATGTATGTATTTATTTCGAAAAAGACAAAAATATTATTATTTCAAACTCGCTTATTCACGTAACATGTTACTTATAAAATATATTATGTCGTATAACATCCTTTGAAATAATTAAATGATAATAATCAATAAATATATTTTATTACGTTTAATGTCCGTTATCATATAAATAGTATCATCATCACCCTAGCGTTTGTCCCGGTTGTTCGTCCCGCCCAGGGCGGGAGAACCCAGGGTCCGCTTTCCCACTCAGTTTCCTCCACTTAGCCCGGTCTTCGGCATCCTTCTTCTTATCATATAAATAGTATATAAGTATATATTTCCTAATTTAATCAAACTCAAAAGTGTTCAATAACTAATGTTACCGTTATGTATGAACAATATCTATTTGTCGATAAAATTATTATATAATCGTCATAAATTATAGATAAATATATTGTAAATAGTATTTTATAATCAAAATTATTTACATATATATGGTAAAATCATTAAAATATAACGTTAAAAAATTACAAAATCACGATACAAATAATCAATTTTAAATCACCAAAGTGTTTAATTTAAAGGTCGGAGTTGTAGTGAGACTTGTGTATAGTATAATAAATAAAAAGCCTGTGTTTACTGTCAGTGTGTTGTTTACAATGTGTTGTTTTATTGTATTCTTCGTTTATATATAGTTCACGAAGTAAATGTAAACCTCGCGGGGTCGTCAGTCGCCCTAAATGGCAAGCGGCTAGTTTCGAGTTGCAGATTATTTTCGCATATCCATTGTACGATCACGGTTATTTTGACGGTTGATAAAATTTACATACAAAATATATCTATTTTTTAATCAATAGGGAAATCAGGTGATTCGTGTATATTAATATGCACAGTCATTCTTAAGTAAAGAAATTCATACAATCATACGAAATTTCGGATATACGTATTACGAAAGCAGCCCTAGTAGGTTCTTTTCAAATTTGATTAGGTAGAGAGAGGAGCTTGGACGGTGGAGGTAAGCGTTTATTCTGCGTTAGATAGAGCCCTCTTAAACCTACACCTGGGTCGCAAGTCCCAGTCACTGTTAAAGCTCCTCTCCCTGCAACGATGGACCCGGCACCTTCTCGTTAATTTACCCGACATTTCGTTTCCTTTAAAGCAATTGTAATCACGGGAAGATGAGATAAAACTGATACTTCAAAAAAATTGCCTCGTAATATCTGAAAATATAGGCAGTTTCATTTCATATACGTACTCACGAAAAATCATTATTATTTTTTTTTACTTTCTACAAATTGGAGAAGAATCTTATCATTAAAGTATTAATTTTTAAAATCTATTTTTAAACGTTCATTCAATAAAATAATCAAAAGCAACATAGCAGTATGATTAAAAAAATAATGACTCCGATAAAAAGGTTACATTAGAAACTACATCTCGTTAAGTGAAGAAAATAATCTAAAGTTCAATAAACAAATATGATTAAAAAAATAATGGATTCGATAATATTAAAAAAATAACTATTATTTCAAGTTTATATAGATTCGAAAAACAGATAAGAGATTAGAAGATATTTGATTAAGATCACATCTTATGTACTGCGCAATATGATTTTATGAAACGAGAGCATGTGCCCATTGCATCACTAGACAGAATTCGTCGCGTCACACGTCACATTATTTGCACTTTCTAATGAGGTTTGCGAATGGATACGCAGCCCCCAGTGGCGTACGTGCGTCGTCGCACGTACACAACCAGGTTCTATTCCCGGCGATATTATTAAATCTTATCATTTGCAATTAATGATAGTGCACGCGAAACAATCTAATAGTTTTGCATATGACCGTCTCGTGGTCACGGCGTGATTTATACAACATCTTACTAGTCTATTCTCATATGTGCTTGTACTAAAAATGGCGGCAATTTTTTTTATATTGTCATTCTATTATATGAAGACATATAGAAGTAATTCTACATCCGCCCTTATCCTCTTTCACAGTACTCAAATATATAATTTGTGACAATATTAAAGTAATTTCTAGGAAAAATTATAAAAAAATTCAACCTAATGATACCTAAAAATAAGTGTCATTGAGTAAGCGGAGACAAGATTTTGCACGGAGCATTGGAATTATCGTTCGACTGTATCGAAAATAAAAATAAAATAGCTCTAAAAACAATACATTGAAATTCATTTAGATAAGTTTCAAATAAAATAATTTATAGTGATATTTAAATCTTCCATTAGCCACGGTTTTAAATTTAATTCAATTCATATTTTACGAGCGTAATAATACAAATTATATGTACCTATATCTAAGTCTAATATTATTTCAAAACTATAGAAATCAAATATTCCATTCTATTTCCTATAAAAGGAAACTAAATAAAAGCGTTTTTAATCAAAACTAGTATAAAAATGTTATCATACGCACGGCAACAGGTTTACGAACCTAAAAACATGTCATATGATAAAACGGTCAGCTGTGACATTGAACTGACAAAACGAGGGGCGCGCGAGTGACGTGCGATGACGTCATCACTTATCGTTATACAAACATTAGTATCAATTAAACATTCAATTTGTTATTAGTATTACGTAATAACCAAATTATGAGCCGAAATGATTCAGCAAGTCTTTGATAAGATGAGATCGGATGTAAATATTTGTGTCTTAAATCATATATGTCTCTCGAAATTATTACACAATGTTCTGAATATTAAGCGTTAATATTTTTCATTCATAAATTTTCACATAATAATTTTAATGTGAGTTATTGAATGGGAAACGGGAAACGATTTGTATTTAGGCGATCTGGTAAGAATATAGAAGTTACAATCATTTATACTAAAGTCAGGTGTTCTAATAATTATTGTTTATAGATCGATGTTTTTATAAAATAAAAAATATCGTTCAGTACATTACTTAGAATACTCGATACTTAATATATTTCTTAAATGTTTTATCAAAAACCCCTTATAATAGATACATATTCGAATCAAATTTCAAAATTACTTTGTCTTATTTTAAAACAAATTGCATTTAAGAGTGAACGGATCAGATAAAGATTCATTGTTGAGTTCTTACAAAGAAACAATATCTTCAATGTTATTGAATGTTGTACATAGTAAACATATAGTTGTAGATGATTCTTTGTTCCACTGGCTGGCTGGCTCCTTCATGTAATATTAAAACAAACGTTCTAAGTATTAAAACACATACAGAATGTATTAAATACAAAATATGTAAATTCTACGATGAATGAATGAATGAATGCTATGAGTGAATGGAAAATAGATAGTACTTATGATTTGATTTGTCAAAAATGTCACACGTCAATACTCCTATTGGGAGATAAATATTATCTGATTGTTTTAGATAATAAACGTTTTATTAATACTTTGTTCTAATCTGAATTTTTGAATTATTTAAATATTACCAAGCGATCAGAACGTGATCTAAGTTTCCATTTTACAAGTTTCCAGTACATACTAATCGTTTCACGTTTCTCATTGAATAAAATACTTTAATAAATGAATATGTCATGTTTTAGCAATAAAAAACTGTTAAAGCTACGTTGAGTGTGATAATACAAACTTAGACTAAGAATACTTATTGTATACTTAATACGTGTACATACATATGTATGTGACATTCAATTCATTAAACTTGTGTGAACCTAGGTTCATGAACTAGAAATGGACAATTTTCGTATGAATATTCACGCCTACACATTTTCTTACAACATGTTAAAAAAATCTCATATTAAAGTTTTTTAAATGAAATTCCGAAGGCTGATACTCAATTTCGTCTGCAACCATGTATGTAAATGAAAATGCATGCCGCTTTTTTAGGGAAGATAATATTATTAAAGTAGGCGTGTACACTGTATTATGTTTTACGAACGTTGCTTCGCGTCGGTATTGTATCTGATGTACAAATTTATCGATGATAGCCGCCATCTAAATGTCAATCAATAAATATCATTACAGATATATCGTGGTAAGTGCGAATTGATCTCTCATATCGAGGGTTCCTTATAATTCTGTGGCCTGTATTTTGACATAGACGGACAAAGGGTACCAAGGAGATCCAGTAAGACTTTTACTATTGACATTGATCCCTAAAATAATATCTAATGTATCTAACTCTTATTTAATCTATACGATACATGTCCGATAGTATAGCTCATGTAGATTAGATCTATAGATAGAATAAAATTTGAGATACGTCTACAGTTTCCTGTATGTACTAAATATATTTCCTTTTTTATATTATAGACCAATATATAATTATTTAAGGAGGTATTACATCAGTTATGCAACCTCATTTATTGTTTTTTTTTAAATCAATGCCAACGGTTTTGTCAATGTCGAAATGTCTAGTATTTAATTTGGAATGTTTTGATTGTATCATATACCTATTTTACAAATTTTGTCACACTCACCCAGTACAAGTTAAATCTATGGTTAAAACGAAATGGGGGACTTCGAAACATATCAAGGCAGACGTTATTGTACTGGGATGCAGTCTTCCAGGGATTGTGACAGCACATAAACTGAAAAAGAAATTCGGTAACACCATGGACATAGTGGTTCTGGATTTAGCTGGAAGACAGACAAATTTATCGAAATGCAACGTGGCCTTCCAAGAAGAAGACGAAGATGAAGATGAGTGTGACAATACAGGAGAAACAAATGTTTTCACGGACAGTATAACCAAACGTTACCTGTCTTTATACGCGGGCGACTTTAATATACCTCTACCTGATGCGATTATGGCACCCGAAAAAGTTCGTTCACCTCTAAATAAACTCTTTGAACACAGTAACGGTACGACGGTGGAATGTTTCACAGACTTCCATGACTTCGATTATCTTAATATTTTGGAGAAATTCGAGCTCAATCAATATCAAAACCTACTGAACGAGTACATGAAGGATCTGTTCCAACAAAACAATTATGATGACGATTCAAATAGGAAACGATTGCTTTATTATGACCACACGACCATGGAAACACATATTTGTAGCTCATTACTGTTCTCAAATTCGAGAGAAATAATGAGGAATACCGTCAGGCTGGTCTGCGGGACTTCAGCAGATAATATTTCTGTACTCTTTTATCTACATCAATGCCACAGGTCAAACAATTCAAGAAATCTCTTAGATGGAGATAATACAAAACTTCGAGAGAAACTCATAGGTTATTGTCGCAAGCGTCTAGCTTCTAAGCTGCAAAAGAGTGTCGCGAGCATAACATTAACAGCCAAATCTATAAACAAAATCAGCTCGTACTCTGATGAACAGGTTATACTGAAAACTATTAAAGGGGATACAAATTACGTCTGCAATCTTTTGGCAATGGCGGTGAAGCCGGACGAACTTCATAACATTGAAGTCGAAGCTCAACTGCTCTCAGATCAGATAATGAATATAACGGCGTCTATGAAACAGGGTGTAGCGAAAAAGTTTTTGGTGCAATACGAGGAACATTTCTGGAGGCGCGAAGGTTATAGCGGTGACATTTTAAGTGTCAGAGGACCGATTCTATGGGCCACTGAACGTCCTATAGTTTCGTCGACAGGAAGCCTTGAAAGATACGCAGCGTTGATCGGATATCTTCGAGTTAAAGAACCTGGAGCTGATTCCAGGGAGGCGGTCTTAAAACAATTGGTTAGGCTGTTTGGAGACGAAGCGGCTGAGCCAATTGGTTACAGAGAAACAATCATAGCCGATACTTATATTCCAAGATGTGGAGATTTTGTCGCTTTGAGAAGATTGACGCGACAATCAAGGCCCAAGTTCCTGGAATGGGGCGCGTTGGATATTTTTGGCGATGGTGACGTGGCATCAGCATTGGAGGCCGGGCATATGGCTTACGTTCATTTGTTAGGCTGTTTGCGCCCGCAGGCTCAAACCTATGACGATTTAAGTACAACCGAATGGCCAACTAACTTAGGGTATAGTCCAATCAGGAAGTTGTGTTCCCAATTGACGATCACAACTAGTTTGCGCTACATGGCCTTTACAGCGGCAGCTTATATAGGATACCGTCTGTTACAGTCTCGCTTACGGAAGTAAAGGGAACATATTGTTCGACTTAAATAAGCAGTAGAAACTTTCATGTATTTAGTGACTACTTGTTGTATTTTGTCAAAATTCAGAGCTTTGTTTATTTGTGTCACGTGTCAGCGGATATTTATTAAATTTCCATTGTTAGGTTTTGTATTAACTTGTTTTGTTTTATTTTTTATAACATTGATATTGTTCAATGAATTTGTACAATCATTTTAATAAATATATTAAGAAATTTAATTCAATTTTATTTCAATTCTGTTTCTTTATGGTCCGAGACTGTGATAATGCAACGTTTTATTCGGGTCGTAACTCGTAAGTATAATGCGTCAATATGTATGTAAAGTTTTTTATCATTAAATTACGAAGTCAAATCATCCACCAGCTCGGTTGAACGTGTTCTAATGAGTAGCCCTTATATGCAGCAGCCTTTCAATACCAAGGTTACCACAATTGGGTCAAGTTTTCTTGATCTACTCGATAACAACTGAATTTAAATAGAAGCTCGAACTTAAACTACAAACTCGCTTTTCGTGAATTAACAAGTGAAATGAATGTATTGATCATTTGTTTTTTAAACAAATATGTAGAAATAATTAATAATAGTTACATTTCTACGACATATTAGGTCGATTTCATCACTAAGAAAGTGTAACAATATAGTCAGTTAATATTTATTTATTTCTATTTTTGTTTAAAGTTTTACTTATAGGAGACGATTTTATCGTGTCATTTAACCTTTTTGATGTTATAAAAATATCAATAACCTAATATTATGTTTTAGATTAACGCCTATAGTTTTATTATAGCTTAACCTCTTCTTACAACTTGCTTTAAATTATTTTCAGGCGCTTCTTTCGATTTTCGAATATAAGAGTAAACAACTTTATGCGATATTTTTTTGTCTGTGAATCAATCAACATTTCTTCGGCAGCACAACTTCTATAAACAAAGTCTTTCTATAAAAATATAAATTAAAAAACTAAATTATAGCAATATAATTTTTTAATTATAAAAATTTTTCAGACATCCTAAATAATATCTTGTTGCTCGTAAATAAGGTTTATAATTACTCTCTCATTTTATTTATCTAAAAAAATATTTTTACAAGGACTATTATAATATGTAGATACTAGAAGACCCGGCGAACTTCGTTTCGCCCTATAATCAAGAAATATCTGTTACGTTTTTTTATTTATATTTTTGGAGTTTACCTATTAAAGCCATAAATCTCCGTGTTTTGAAGTGATTAGGAATGATTAATAGTTAATATGAGAGTTACACTGAGCTAGCAAAATAATAATTGTCAACGTTACTACTACACTTGATGCACAAACAATAACGATGGCCGACAACTGTGTAGGGAGTGAGAGAAGTCTAATTGTGTGAGAGAAACAGAAGACCGGCTTCGTTCTCATCCCTACTCCGTGCTGTTTACTGGGTCAGAAGTGACACCTGTAGATATCTGGCGGGGATAACTTATTAAATGACGATTGATCAGTTATCGACCGGAGATGAAAAATGATTAAATTACTAAAATAGCTATTAAAAAATAAGGGTTGATCGTAGAAGGGTGAAAATTTAGGATTGTATGTATTTTTGTACGTTGTATCATAAAAAAATAGTAATTAAAAATTTTGTCTAAAAAATAAAAAAAAAAAATTTAGGGGTGGACTACCCCTAACATTTAGGGGGATGAAAAATAGATGTTGGCCGATTCTCATAGCTACCGAATAAGCACAAAAAATTTCATCAAAATCGGTCAGGTTGTTTCGGAGGAGTATGGGCACGAAAACTGTGACACGAGAATTTTATATATTAGATAGATCATAATTATATTTTCTCAGTCCTTAACAAACAATAACAATAGGAGTTTATAGCAAAAATAAAGGAAAAAAAATACTTTAACTTATTATAATAATACTGACCCACGTTTTGTATATGTTACCGGAAAAGTACGAAATAATGGAATTGCATATAAATCCTAGAAAATGAGTAGGTACGATTTCGAAACTATTTAAAAATTGTATAAAATATTTTTTGAAAAACTATTTATTGCATAGATATCTTAGGAAATGAATAAATTTCTAAGTAATAGCATACAATCCCAATATCGTATTAATATTTATAAAATAAATGATTTCTGTAAATGAGCATTTACCCCGCCCCTCGCCCCTCGATCCTCTGTCCCCACGTACCCATCAATATCTCAAATGTTTTACATTTCCGATTGCAATTTAGGAAATGTATAGAATTCCTAGACAATACATATAATATAATTAATTTCACACATTTCCATGTGATTTTCGGAATTCCGTAACATTCCTAGGAATTGCATACAATGACCGATTTCATACATTTCCGACAACATATAAACTAATAAAACTCGGTAGTTTCAATACAAAAATAAAATGGATCACGTGCGAGACTAAATCTAAATAAAATGAGAAAAATGTTAATACTATTTAAATGTATTTAATGCAAACTAATTATGATTATAAATGGAAAATTTTGAGATTTCTGAACTGTAAAATTACAAATATTATGCGTTTCTATTGTTAAAAAGAAATAATTTAAAAATGTCGATAATATGATGTCAAAGTTATTAAGTATATTTGTATTTATTTCAATTAATTCCATTGCTGATCCAAAAAAAAGTAATTTTAATTTAAAATTAATAAAAATAATTAAGGATTATTGTGACAAATAGATAACCCAATAAATTAATTTATATATTTTTTGTTGATATTGGCTGTATGTGAAAGTTTTTATGTATTTTTTTTAAATATATATTTTCATTTCAATCTGTTTATACCCTGCAGGCAAATTTAAGTTTAGGTAGGCACGTTTCTATTCAATTTCCAAGCGTTTATATATTTTTAAACTAGCTTTCCACCCTCAGCTTCGCCCGCGTGGAGTTCGATTATATCGCGTTTCCAAGAGAACCTTTCAAAAATCTGGGATAAAAACTATCCTATGTTCTTTCTCAACGTCAACTCTATCTCAGTATCAAATTTCATTAAAATCAGTTCAGTGGTTTAGGCGTGAGAGCGTAACAAACAGACAGATAAACAGACAGAATTACTTTCCCATTTATAATATTAGTAGGGACAAGATAATAATTAATTTTTGGGCAAGAAGAGGCGAGCGGAAATGAGTCAAATGTTTGTTCATAAGTGATTAAAAAAAAGGGACAACAAATATATCGTTTATCTAATAATATCTGTAGGAATTCCAAATTGACTACAATTATAGATAGTTTTCTCAATGTGTCGTAAAGACAAAAATATAAGAATTCCTTACCTATTGTAACTTACTTACTTGCTGTCATACAAACATTTCCATCATAGGCTTTTGTAGTTAATTCTATTGCAGTTTTTGTTAATAGATAGACAAATTAATGTCATATTGAAAACAGCCTCTGTAACCGGAAACAGTTCCGTTGAAAACATTAAGTAACTTCGATGAGGAAGCGGAAACGTTTAGTTTCGTTCGCACCAATGGATTAGTGAAAAAATATCTCAAAAACTATTGTTTCTATCAAACATCTTAAAAACAGTTAGTCGTTCACTCGAGGTCAAGTTGAATAATGTTATCTAAAGTATTTAATGGTTCTTTATAATTTATTTATTAGCATACACAAATAGCATTATTATATAAAACTAATTATTTATACTCATATTTCACTTAATAAATAAACGTTTCAGTTCACGTGTATATATTAATGTTGTAGAACTAATTAATAATATCTCAATTGGAAGATAAAACGGTATAATAAAAGAAGAACTGAATATAAAGTCACCGAAAAAATATACATAGGTAAAATTTCTACGCACAGAAAACACCTATCAAAAAAAAAATACGTAATTTTTTATACATAGAAATATATAAAGGTTTTTCTTTAAACAATCTTCCTTCAAAAACTTACGTGTTTCTCTTATTATCTATCAATTTCTATAATATCGGTATTTTATACTTAAAATCGGTAAATCTTCAGTATCGGTAATCGTTTTGACCCCTGGGTCTCACCACTATAATGTAGTCGTATGTAAGTGCAGGTGTCACAAACCTATGGCAACTCATATAATAACAGTAGGTTACTATTACGTGTGTATGTCATTATGGAATAATAATTACTTGAGTAATACACTTTCTATTTCGCATAATGAATATATATAATAATGCTATTGAATATGGGTATGTCTATAATTTATATCTATATATATATATATACATTTAAAATAAAGTTGTGTTAGTTATACTATTTAAAACTCAAAAACGGCTGTAGGGATATGATTGAAAATTGGCGGGGAGATAGCTTAGAACTAGGATACGGACATAGCATATTTAATTCTGTTCGATCGAAGAAACAAATACTAAATAAATTCCAATATCTGGTCATTTATGGGTTTTAGTGAGGAATATAATTCTCCAGGTTAGTGATACATTTATTAATAATTCCAAAATTAACGCGGACGAAGTCGTGGGGATTAACTAGTTGTTTATAAATTCTCAAAAAAATATATAACATTCTTTATTTTCATCATACTGAACTGAATAATATATATGAATCAGAAATAAAATATACCACTTTCATTCCTATGATACAAGCTTATCGGAATTATTTAATATGTCTGTAAAATTTATCAAAATATTGCAAAAGTTTTTACAGAACCTTGATCATACTAAAGTTATTAGTCACGTAGTTTATAACTGAAAGTGAACAGACAAGGAGAAATATAGATCTATATTAAATATAGATTGTAAGGACGACAAATATTATAATGAAATAAAATGTTCTGCAGTCTCGAACAATAGATAATTATATCATAGAAGTTGAACATTGGATCTAGTTTAAGAGGGAGCAGACTACGATTAATATATACGTATGTATATTTGTGAGTGTGTATAGATAATAGTTTCTTAAAAATACATTAGTCTTAAATAAAATTACGGCCAAGGATATGTAATATAGAAAATTGACATAGTCGCATTCATATTACGGTTAAATTGATAATTTTTTTTTGTAAAACAAATAAAATGAAATGTAGTTACGATTAAAAAATAATTATATGCACAAAATAAATCTTGAGAACTTCGACTTTGGTAAATAGAAAGACTGGGAACGAGTTTAGTAGACTAAGTAATATATATATATATATATATACATAGGACTGAAGGATCGTCTGTTGCGAATGATTCATCTGAATACCAGACATTATATTATAACAATACATTAAATGTATATTATTTATTCACTGCTCAAGTTGGCAGCACCGTCACAATTCATAAATGCCATGATCGGTCCGTGTGTAAACGTTCATAATTTTCCATGAAATCATTGTTATGTGAGTGTCGCTGTAAGGAAAACATTTGTACTCACACCGGCCAGCCATGCGCATGATTTATTTTATATATTACTGTAATACAAATGTTGATAACAGCTTTCAAAACAGCTCTGAATCGTACGGGCCGGACGATTATAAAGATGGCTGGGTGAGTTTGTGACATGACTATACATATATTCATTTATTGTTATATAATATATAATATGAAGAATTATATTTCATCTATCTTTCAAAACAACAATATTATTAAGATTTTTTTTATGTTTGAACCTCATTATAATTTCGCTAATTTCAAATAATATTTTTTGTTATTGTCTCCAAGTTACACTAAGATGAATACAAGGCTAAAACGACTCATCGTAAAAAAAAAGATGAGTTTTTCTTTTAAATCTCACGCTTGGATTCCAGCTTTATTTAGATCAGCTGTTCATATTTTATTTAAATAAATTTTTATTTAATAATAAAAAGTAAATTTTTTGAATGACCATTAATCATAAATGATGGAATTATTTACACTTGATTATATCGATAAGGTTGAAAAACTAATATCAGAGGCACAGCACGTAGTCATGAGGTCAAGTGTCCAGCCTCGCGGACACTTCGGACTAGCATTTTAATTGAAAGAAACCTACTATACATGATTTAAATATTTGATTCCATAAAATATATTACCTTTTCACTATATTGAGATCAACTGTCCTAAAATAATATTTATACGCTTTATTTTTTACTTACTCAAATCTACAATAATATTACTATGGCTTAAAGTACGAAAATAACTATATATTATTAGGTGATAGTACGGAGTACTTATAAATTATATAATCAAGGCAAATAAACTGTTTATACGGAAGTGTAAGAATAGATCTATTATTATTATATAAAAGAATAAAAAAAATGTTTTTTCGGTTCCTATAAATCAATTCATTAATGCAATTCCTATGTTTTAAAACATTTACTTAATGTTTTGTCGCGATGGTGAAGTTTATTGTTACACAATGCCAACCTCACCTTGTTCGCGTTACGGCATTGAAACGAACCGTCAAATTTTTTAGCTTCAAACGTCACCGACAATACGACCGATCGAAATATTTTATATATTATTCAATACACAGTAAGGGACAATGTTGTTGTTACATCGGCTGTGTTTTACTTTTGTTTGGACGTTGGCATAACGTCTGTGAACCGTCGCCCGTGTTCAGTTGCGCGGCGGCATCCGACATTGACATTTCGTTTTGACGTGCGTGAGCGCTGTTTACGAAATGTCATCCAATAGAATTAATGAAAACATTCATGATGCTATGTTGAACGGTTTGAGTGCGCTCGATAAAGGACTGACGCCGCTCAGTGGACGATATCGTTCGAAAAGTTTGTCCAGTGATAAGTTGAATAAGACGAATGCTGATCGTGCCGCTATATTGGAGGATGTTGAGGCACATTACGTGACGGACAGAACAGAGACTCCGGGCTGTTTGGTTATTAACAAAATAATGGAACAAGAAAAGTCTATGAATGGGTGAGTCGATGATATTTATCATTTATACCATCCATTATTTTAAATGATTCACGTAAAAGGATTTTTCTAGCTGTCGCTTCAGGTAGCGATGTTTGAAAAGTTCTTATTAGTTACGTTTCCAATCGTGTTCATGAAAATTCGACTACTTATTCATTAAAAACCTTAGATACAATTCTACCTTACAAAATCTATATTGTTATAGGTTTAAATTTATAAATAAACACATACTACCCCAAGTATAGCATATAAATTATAAAATATTGCATTGTTACTTTTAAGATAAACATTGATTTATCATCACGTAATCGAATTTAGTAACATTTACGCGAAAAATTAATTTAGTCCGATGTTGCTAATGAAAATATTTCAAGTAATATGTAGATCTTCACAGATTTTAAGTTTTAATATTCCGTCTTTCATTACGTTTTGTATCGTGTTAATTTACGACGCGACTGCCTTTGTAACCGATGTATACAAAGGAGTGTATTAGTCGAATAAAAATATGCATTCAGTTTATATGATGTCAAATGAAATAAGACAACAGGGAAGGTCGTAAACAATAATTATTTTCATATCCAATACATAATAAATTGTATACATATAATATAAAAAAATCATTCAAATAATATTACATCTTCTGAATGAAGACCACAATTAAAAAACTGTATCCTTAGTCCGAGTTGGTATTGTCTCGTTACATAAACGTTAACAGATTTTCATTGATAAATCATCGCAATATTATATATGTAGTATTAACGTAGATTATTGAGTAAGATACGTGAAACGCTTCGTAAGCTGTATCGAACTTGGTCTAATAGTCTTAAGAGTGTATAAAATTCATTTATTATTTAATTTTGTTCGTCTTAAGGAATTAAAACGTATTTTTTAATGTATATTATTAACTGAAATTACATATATTTAATGTTAATAAACATATATTATTTCCGCGAAATTCTTTTCGTTTCTTAAACTTATAATCGTCTTTTATACCGATATCATATATATATTCTTAGTTTATATAACACAAATTACACGCCTGTTAATATCGGATCACGCTATGCCTAAATTTATATCTTCTCGTTTAGAAAACAATACCTATAGAAATATCTCTTCTTATTCAACTTAAATAATTTGAATGCCCAATCATATTAAGAGACGTATCGAAGATTCGAGAAATAATTATTAAGAGACGAAACTTAGCATTCAATGTATTCACCGTGCGTGTGTCGGGTCCATCGTTGTAGTGAGAGGAGCTTCAACAGTGACTGGGACTTGTGACCCAGGTGTAGGTTTAAGGGACCTCTATCTAACGCGCGTTAAACGCTCACCTCCACCGTCCAAGCTCCTCTTTCAAATCCAAAATAGTTTTGAATTCATCAACTCAATATAAATAAAAAAACAAGGTTATTGCTTGAAGTAAAAAGTCATTCCTGATTCAGTTGTCTCTTCATCCGTTTTATAGTTACTTAAGACTCTAAGAGATCGATACTAGAAATATCTTGGAAAATATAATATCTTTACTTCGATTTTTCTTAAAATAATTATCAAGATTCAAATAATAAAAACAAATTTAAAAGAGTCAAAAACACGGCTGTTCGGTTATTTAAACTGAAATTTTAGCGTTTATAAACGGTGTTTAGGAAGAGAAGTTCGTCTGATAAGCTTATTTTATCGATAAAAATACGTTTTACTATATATTTACTTTCTATATTACTGTTGAATAAATATCATTTAAGAATAAAAACTGCACTAGTTGTTTGGAAGTAATAGCCCATTAAAATGTACTACTTTAATGAACATTGTATATTAGTTATCATTGCTAAAATATAAAATCTTTATCGATTCGATAGTTTTCAAAAAATATAGTTTCAATTCACTGTATTGTACATGGATCAATTTTAAAATAGCAACGGTTCGTGGATACTTAATTGCATATTTATAAAAATTCCTTTTCTAATTATACTTATAAGTCCTGTATCTTGGACTTAATGAATAAGTATACTCTTAATATTCGCCTACTCTAAGTTCGTTTCGTCACACTTCATACACCGCGTCTCTAGTCAATCACTAATAAGCCTACATTGATACTTTATAAGAATTCTTCGTCTTCCTGGCAATTTCCCAGATTTAGCCAGGGTCTGTCTTACATGTTGTGAAACTTTTTGGCTAATTGTTGTTACGACCGACCGCCTGACATCAACCCTCTTTGGGAATGCATTAATCAGTGATGTCTAAATACTCTTAGAAAGTACATATAACTCGGAAAAATCACATTGGTACTTGCCAGGATCGAACCCGCGCCCTCATGCATGAGAGGCGGACCTTTTAATCACTAGGCCACCACTGACTATACATATAAGAATTATGAATGGTAAATTGTATACGTAATACGCCCCGTGTGTAGTAATGCAAACTCGTTATAATGTATTTGATCACCTTCATGTTTCTGTCATTCACAAATGCTTTGTTTTATTTATTATCACTTATCAGTATGTCTTAATATTTGTATAGGATAGTAAATAAACTACTATGTATGTGTTCAAGTGTTATATACTTTATACCCATTTACTATTAATAAAAAATTCAACTGAACACAAAATACAAATGATTATGAACTAAGAAAAGTCTAATAATTTGTGTCAAATAGCAAAATTATTTTTATGTCAATTATAATTCAAAGACATACCTAGTCTATTTATTCTACAGTTTACAAAAAAAATATATAAATTCTTGAAGGATGTCCAAACTTTTGCATCCATATTAAATAATAAAATAGTTACAATTAGAAGAGATGTAGTTTGAAATGATAAAAGTATTTGATAAGAAATATAATCACTGTAGGTACTTTGTTTAAGTTATCGGCGTCCTCCACATAAGGACCTAATTTTCATTCATAAATCTTTATTTTATATCGTACTAGCTTTCCGCCCGCAGCTTCGCCCGCTTGGAGTTCGGTTATATCGCGTTTCCGAGACAACCTTTCAAAAGTCTGGGATAAAAAGTATCCTATGTTCTAACTCAAGGTCAACTCTATATCTGTACCAAATTTAATTAAAACCTGGTCAGTGGTTGAGGCGTGAAAGCGTAACAGACAGACAGACAGAGTAACTTTCGAATTTTTAATATTAGTAGGGATTAACGTAGTTTACTGAGTGAGAAACGGGAAGCGATTCATATATAGTATAAAAAAAATTAGGACTAAATGCAATTTTAAGATATAAATTAAATATAGCAAGAAAATTTTCTCAAAATTACGTATGTAAATTATATCATTCGATTAAATGAAACTAAGTTTTTTACTTACTACGTTTTTTTTTTTATTTTATATCTACATCATCCCGACGCGATATTTCGGTTCATTTAACAACAGTTATCACGGGCAGACGAGATGTCCCCAGTTCATCATAAATTTAAAACAATATCAACGCCTAGCATCCGAAAAACTTAGTCTAATTAAATTGTATATACGATAATCTTAGATATCATTATAACTGGAAGTTATTAATAAATATTTGAGTAGACCTCAATTATGTTTCTATTACAAAGTTGTCTTAAATACGTAACATGCAAACACACGAACATCAAGATCTTATGCATTAAAAATAAATGGAAGAATATTTTCAAACTGCAAATAGGAAAATATCAAATTAAATTTTATAAAGAAATTAAAAACTTTAACTGAATTTCAATTCTAAATTTCAATTCTAAATTCCCTTAATTGCAAACTTGTTAAATTAAGGAATTGAGCAAATCAATAAAATAAATGTGTACTATGGCACAGAGAGTACAAATACGAATAATTTCTATTCTCCAATCATTTACTATCATGAATGAAAAATAGTTTTTTTTGCAGCCTCTGTATTAACTCATGCAAATAATCAATCGTGTTTTGTCGTCACAACGCTACAACAATCAGGCATAATTTCAAACCTTTGTGGATTCATATTACATTAAAACTGCGATTCATAAACAGTCGTTTTGTTAACTAAGTAATGGGACTTATTTTCATATCGTACGACGCCATTTAAAACATTCCCATACAAGGAAATAAATAATTTCTAAATGATTCGGATGATTTAAATGTTTTCTTATCAGTTATTGTTTTCCTTTTACTGTAGGTATATTCAACGTTCTATAAATACTATATTTGCGTTACATATAATCTTCTATATACATAAAAATGGATTGCTGTTCCTTAGTCTCGCTAAAACTCGAGTACGGCTGAACAGATTTATCTTATCTTAGTCTTGAAACGTTTGTGGAGGTTCAGGGAAGGTATAAAAGCTGAAAAAAAATTAATTTCCGGTAAAATCCTAAAAACAGCCCTTTTCTATTTCCCATACAAACGGATTTTTTGACATTAGATTTGACAACTAACTAATATGTCAATCATTCTGTCGCACTTTAGAACACGGAGACTTATGGCTTAAAGGTAAACCCCAAAAAAATAATTTATTTCTTGATTGAGGCAGTACGAAGTCTGCCAGGTCTTCTAGTAATACATAAAAATCTATATCAGAATTTGAGCGAAATATATAATCAGTAGCCTTATCTTAATCCAAATAAATCTCCAAGTAAGTGTTCCCATTAGCGGCCTTTACAGAACCAGTCTTATTTACTTAAAAAAATATAGTATAATTAATGTCTTTTATATGGAAAATCTTCGTACTTATGAATCCAGACACAAAAATTTATATCATCTTTTGTTTAGGCTTTCGACCTATATAAGAAAATAATACAATATTTATACTTATCGAACTTACTGATTTTAATATGGCTTCATATCAAAAAAATCAAGTGATTCTAATTTTTCTTGTTATTAGATAGAAATGTTGCATTTCTTACTTAAGATCGATTTTATTGGTATAAATGATGAATCTTTTACTCTTTAACTATGTTACTGATGATAGAATTTATTATTATTGACATTTTCAAGTCTTATTATATTCCTTCAATATCTATTTTTATTTGTTGAAAATCTACATAGCATTTTGTGACAGAAATATGTTTAAACAAAATAATTTTTCATCTAACCCAAACCAAACAATTTGTCCCTTAAATGTTGCGTAATCATCTCAAACGTAGTAAGAAATTCTAGGATGAAAAGTGATAGCGTTTTTTATATTAGTTTTTCCACAAAAACCTTTAATATGTATAATACAATATTAGTATAGATCACAACAAATATTGATCTTCATATCTGTTATTATTTTGAATTAAGGAATAAGCGTACTCAATGAAAATAATTATTTATATAATATCTTATTTTAAATAATATCACAGCTTTTATTTAACTAAACCGGGAACCGTTTAGTATGAGACGCGATAAAATTTGAAATGTTAATGCAAATATTCGTTTAGTATATATTTTTTTGCATTGTATTGGAAACTAATATTTTTCGGATTATACTATTCGTGATTTATTATTGTAGAACCTACATACTCCCGACGTTTCGGTTACTTTTCATCAACTGTGATCATGGACAGACGAGATGTGAATGTCTATCTGTCGGTCTTGTTATATTATTTAATTTTCTGGCGTACCACTCTGGATGCCGGCAGAATGCTCACTGTGTCACGAGGTCCTACGGTGTGGTTGCAGGTCGCAGAAACTATTAGAACTCATTAATCAATAGAATATATAAAGATTTCAATATTGATTAAATTAATTGTTTCTAAATATAGATGCATTACATTACAATCAACATAGCAATCGTCTTTCACATCCTGTTTAATAATCTTTTTATAAAACATACAACTATCCGACACTCAAGTCACGTGTGACTAGTGACTTAGCGTACAATTATAGAATTAACCCCCGTATCTATATTATTTACACAGTTATCGTAATGTAAAGCTAAGGAGCGGCCGGTGTTGAACGTTTAGTTGATAAGAGATATTCGTGTCGTGTAATACACTAATTGATACCTTGTATTTGACATTCGACTGGCTCATAACTATGGATGTTTGAGATACCAAAATGACTGAGGACACCAAGCCGTTGTTACTGTGAGTAATATTACTTATATTAGTGGATAATACGGTTCTATACATATATACTGCAATTATTTCTTAGATACTTAGACTATGATCTACATAAATTAAATCAGTATGTTTACTTGACGTCACAGTATTTGAAGTTAGCAGTTTGTCATTAATAAATATTAGCACATTATTATAGTACCTAATTCAGTGTGAAAGTAGAATAGTCTCGTATTACTGTGATGCAAAACTTGTGTTAAGCGTAATTATGAAATATTTATGGTTTTCTTAGTGTTAAATTGAATATGTTATATACGTGTCTAAAGATAATGACAGCTATATATACATATATAAAAGCATACAGGATTTTTTATTGTATCGTATAAATTAAACGTGAAAACATATACTCATAAAATTATTGATTTGTTTCATTGTTCAATTAATTCTATTGAAACTAAGTCAAAATTATTAAACGTCGACACGATAACGGAAATGATTTGCATAACTGGTGTAGTTTCAGGTGTTTCTTCATAATACTGATATAGTTTAATTTTTATATTAAGATTTTATATTTCAATACTTCTATTTATTTCAATGATATGTTAATTCAATTCAATTTATTAATTATTATAGGATAATTCACTGTCTCTATTTAAAATGGATAATGTTTACTTTAACAAAAATTTCAAACTTGAATTTCAAACATGAATGGAAAACGGTAATACTTAATTAAATTTACTTTTCCTTCCAGTGTCTTTATAACTATTTTATATACAGAGTGTTTGCAATTTTTAAATCTTCGCTTATGGTGTAAAAGTATGCACATCAATGACAAGTGGAACACCCTTTATATAGTCATGTATCAAGCTGTGGTAAGGTTACTATAAAGACTACTTGATACATATTTCCTTATCACTGATGCTACTATCACCTATTAATAAGAATTAAAACGTGTAATTCTTATCAGTATTTGTTTTTATGAGTTACAATCGATGATAACAAACATACATATATATATGTATATATAGATTGTTGCGAGGGTTAAATTTAATGTCATATTTTAGGGTACATCACTTTTCTTAATGTTGATATTCAGTAATTTGCTACTTCCAAGAAGTTATAAAGGTATTTGATTATATACATATTATGTATATATCTCATGATAATATTATCATTGCAATAATATGTTAAAAATTTACCTTAGATTTACCAAGCATACTTAATTTCTGTTACAACAGCTTTACAAAGATAAAATTGTTAGTTCAGCACCTTTAGTTTTCCAACTACAAACTAAACCTAAATAGTCGACAATTGACTCATATATATAACAAAAATAATATAAACTTTACAGACCCGTGTAAAAATATTGTGAAGACACTATAGTCTATAGCTTAAAACTTATGATCAACAGAAGTTATATACGTCGCAAGTTCGATTCCAGACTTTATCTTTCTCATTCTACGTTCAAGTTTACACTGCAACTTACATAATAAAGTATGAAATATAATTCGATATTTTAGAGCACAAGTCGGAAGCTAGTGTCGTTGAACTGATTCGTGTTTGTATGTGAAGTAAAAAAATATTGATAATGAAGAACATATGTGAGGATATTTTGACGATTATAGCAAGCTAAGCAGGATTTGTATTATAACTATGATATATTTACAGTCATTTTTGCATTTTGATTATTGTGTATGACTCGGGACGACTACTGAGCATTGATTACTTTCGTTCTTTTTATGTGAGTGTGGAAGTACTTAAAGAATAGCTGAACTAGTAAAGTGGCTTTAACCAGATATTCTAGAAGTCACATATCAATGAATATTACTTATAGAATATGTAAATTTCAAAGAGCTTCCTTACCATGAGTTTGCATTATCAACAGTCAACGCTTCAACGCTTTTTCGTTCATCATTTCCAAATTTTAATACAAGATTATTAAATGTGAACTGTTAAACTTTTCGTACGTCGTATTACGATGCAAACTTGGAACTTGTACTAAATATAAAGATCGTTAAATTAAATTTCACTTATATGATAACAATAGCAATATAAAATTAATTTTATTTAAATATTTCGATCATACAAACTGTTAAACGCATAGTATACATGTCATTATCTCCCACTAGACAGTTTTGCTAATTCATTTTCAATTAACGTGTAAACTGGGTACAAAAAAATAATATTTCAAAAGATGTAAACATATTATGAGATTTAAATGTATTGGAATATATCACAACTAAGAGAACTACTTCTAGCTACTGGAAAGGTCATAAAATATAATTTATAGCGCCAATAAAATATGTATATTATGATTAAAGAAAATAATAAAAGTATATCTCAAAATGAGTCTTGATATGAAGGAATTAGGGTTCATATTGAAATGTACATGCATATAGATAATTTGGATTTTATATACGATAAAAATGAGGGAAAACTAAATGTATGGGTATCTTATCAATCCGTCATATACTCAGTGTCGACTATCGAAGTTTGATATTCATATGTTAATTTATATTAGAAATTATTTTAAAGCTTTGATATGAATGAATATTAAATCCTCTTGATACATTCAATGCTGTTCCCGTTTGAATGGAAACAGGAAATATTTTTAACTCACTTGGCACTTCACTTGGCGTTTATTTGTTGTGTTCGGCCAAATAAGACCATGTGTGGAGGATTTATTCGTCTTCATTTGACATATTTGCACAAATAAGACACATACACAAATACGAAAGCGTAAAGACGTGGTATTGGCATGCCAAGTGTGGATGTCGTGTTTGCGATATTTGAACTACTAACAAATATTTGGACAAATATGGCGAATACACTACGCGAATAAAATCGTTAATATCATTGTAACAATAATGTATATTATTTATATATTACATTCTCACATTATTATTGTGGAAGGAACAAGGAATTGGATTCACTCGAGTACCTGATAGTAGTTATACAGGGTGACTGGTGAATTACTATCAATATTTAAGGACATACTCGGTACATGATTTTCATTCGAATTATGTAAAAAAAACAAGTACTTAATTTTTGACCAAATTTCCGTATAAATAAATAAATTGTGGACACGTTCCAAGTGTTCCAAGTGTGGACGCGTGCGGCGGCGTACTGATACAACACCACGCCGCCGCGCGCGAGCGTGTGTGTGTGTGTATACCTAATCTGTAGTGTGTTCACACGATGCGTAATTAATTACATAACTTTTGGTTAACTTTACTTAGAAGTTTATTAATATTTATGTTATATTAATTTTTATTTTGTCATATATGATCGTCAAATATCACGTCCTCAAGTATCGATAGTAATTCACCAGTCACCCTTTATAATATTATTATTAGTAAGCAAATTTCTTTGAGATTTCGTAAGTCAAATTGAGATTATGTACAGTGTACACCATATATGTATTTATTTATAAGATTGTGATCGATTCTATAAGCAATAAACAAAAATGTGATTCGTCTGAAACAAAATGAGAATCAACAATTAATTGTTCATACTTTCCTTGGGGACGAAACTACTTATTTAGTTTGTTAAATTAGCTGTCATTGTCACATGTCAAACGATGCTTTCACATATATTTGGTTCAATAGTTAAATGTAAACATACAAACTTACCTTGATATTTACTACAGTTATTGGGTCCTATTTTTCTAAGCCTATGTTAGATAGTAATTTGCATTAAATCTAATCTCAACTAGATTCAAAGATGCTAAAGCCAGCTACGGAACCGAGAACCCGGCGAGGGGTCGGAGGGTCATCTTCTGTGTCCACGGGAACCCTTCAACGGGATGCTGCGCCGTCATAGAGACCAGCGCGGACGGAGATGAAGTGGCGAGAACGAACAGTATTACAGAAGAGAGTAAGAGACAACATGCTATACAGGATGACTGGTGAATTACTATCAATACTTGAGGACGTGATATTTGACGATCATATATGACAAAATAAAAATTAATATAACATAAATATTAATAAACTTCTAAGTTAACCAAAAGTTATGTAATTAATTACGCATCGTGTGAACACCCTACAGATTAGGTATACACACACACACACTCACTCGCGCGCGGCGGCGTGATGTTGTATCAGCACACCGCTGCACGCGTCCACACTTGGAACACTTGGAACGTGTCCACACATTATTTATTTATACGGAAATTTGGTCAAAAATTAAGTGCCTATTTTTTTTACATAATTCGAATGAGAATCATGTACCGAGTATTCTCCTTAAATATTGATAGTAATTCACCAGTCACCCTGTATACATGAAACTAATAATTTATAGATAACTACACGTATTTTATTATTTTAAACTGCATACTCTCTCAGGTTACTTTGCAGCAACCGTGATCACGAAGACGAGATGCCATCGAAAATATTGGTTTCATTTAAATGAATACTCTCGAAAGTCATCTCTCGCTAAGCAATATACAGCAAAAAATCACTTCCCAAAAAATTATAGATTAGAAATAAGTATTTCTAAAGAGGTTTTGACATAACTTTATATATTATCTATAGATAGGATGAAGCTTAAAAGTATCAAAGAAAGTTGAAGACGCTAATCTGATCTTTATATATTTTTTCTTTCCAGGACATTGTCACAGATCAAGAAATGAAGAAATAGACAAGAGGGCACGAAGAAAACTCATTATAGCGAGTGTGTTGTGTGTTATATTTATGATAGGAGAAATTGTGGGTGAGTTGACAACTGTTACTAAAGATATTGGCTCTGAGAATACTATAGAATAGACGTAAGACTCAATATATTTTGAAATACTAAGTACAGCGTCTTAAATCAACATGAATCTTGGTCTTTATCGTGTTTTCTTTAAGTCAGTATATTTTTGCATAGCACCACATCTTGTTTTACCTACATTTCTTCTAGAATGACAATCTTTTTGTGCTATATTTGTATAATGAGCTGCACGCTATGTATTTTCCAGGTGGATATCTATCTAACAGCTTAGCTATAGCGACGGATGCAGCTCACCTGCTTACAGACTTCGCAAGCTTCATGATATCACTGTTCTCACTGTGGGTGGCTAGCAGGCCCGCAACAAGACGGTAACAAACATACATATACACACACACACACACACACAAATAAAACATATAACATATAGTCTTTTGACGTCGCACTGGATTAAAAATTGCTTCCAGTTAAAAATATAGATATTTTTCACATCACATCAGTTGCATGTACATTAAGTCAATCTTAATATTTAATTAGTATCATATTTTGATAACAAAGTCAAACATAAGCACTGCAAAAAATTTACCTCATTAACAATAAGTTGCAAAATTTTTTTGCTCGAACATAGTCCAAAACTAGAGCAGCAACAACATACATAATTATATATCAGTCAGTTCCAAAAATGTATCTATTTATACCATTAACCATTTCACCCTATCAGTTATGTATCTATTTATACCATTAGCCATTTTACCCTAACAGTTTGTTCCAAAAATGTATCTATTTATACCATTAACCATTTCACCCTATCAGTTATGTATCTATTTATACCATTAGCCATTTTACCCTAACAGTTTGTTCCAAAAATGTATCTATTTATACCATCAGCCCTTTCACCCTATCAATTAGTCCCAAGAATGTATCTATTTATACCATCAGCCCTTTCACCCTATCAATTAGTCCCAAAAATGTATCTATTTATACCATTAGCCATTTTACCCTAACAGTTTGTTCCAAAAATGTATCTATTTATACCATCAGCCATTTCACCCTATCAATTAGTCCCAAGAATGTATCTATTTATAACATTAGCCATTTCACCCTATCAGTTAGTTCCAAAAATGTATCTATTTATACCATTAGCCATTTTACCCTAACAGTTTGTTCCAAAAATGTATCTATTTATACCATCAGCCATTTCACCCTATCAATTAGTCCCAAAAATGTATCTATTTATACCATTAGCCATTTCACCCTATCAGTTAGTCCCAAAAATGTATCTATTTATACCATTAGCCATTTCACCCTATCAGTTAGTCCCAAAAATGTATCTATTTATACCATTAGCCATTTCACCCTATTAGTTAGTCCCAAAAATGTATCTATTTATACCATCAGCCATTTCACCCTATCAATTAGTCCCAAGAATGTATCTATTTATAACATTAGCCATTTCACCTTATCAGTTAGTTCCAAAAATGTATCTCTTTATACCATTAGCCATTTCACCCTATTAGTTAGTCCCAAAAATGTATCTATTTATACCATCAGCCATTTCACCCTATCAATTAGTCCCAAGAATGTATCTATTTATAACATTAGCCATTTCACCCTATCAGTTAGTTCCAAAAATGTATCTCTTTATACCATTAGCCATTTCACCCTATTAGTTAGTCCCAAAAATGTATCTATTTATACCATCAGCCATTTCACCCTATCAATTAGTCCCAAGAATGTATCTATTTATAACATTAGCCATTTCACCCTATCAGTTAGTTCCAAAAATGTATCTCTTTATACCATTAGCCATTTCACCCTATTAGTTAGTCCCAAAAATGTATCTATTTATACCATCAGCCATTTCACCCTATCAATTAGTCCCAAAAATGTATCTATTTATACCATTAGCCATTTCACCCTATCAGTTAGTCCCAAAAATGTATCTATTTATACCATTAGCCATTTCACCCTATTAGTTAGTCCCAAAAATGTATCTCTTTATACCATTAACCATTTTATCTTGACCTCTAGCATGCCGTTCGGCTGGTACCGTGCGGAGGTGATCGGCGCGTTGACCTCGGTCTTACTTATCTGGGTGGTGACCGGCATCCTTCTATACATGGCCGTCCAACGAGTCATCTACAAGTCATTCGAGATAGACGCCACTGTGATGCTCATCACCTCCGCTGTGGGGGTCGCTGTGAACTTAGTGTGAGGAAAATACATTAACAATTAATAAAATATACTATTATACTCTCAGTATTAAGTATAAACGAACAACTGAACACCCATATCTATCGAGATGTGTAAATCAAAAAATACTAGAAAATGAGCATTCATTACTATCAAAAAAAGTACCGTCAGCATCACAGTAACAATTTCTGCTCTACGTAAATATAACCAAACAATATAATTTATATATATATTTCTAATATTATATTTAATTTATCATCACCAGTATGGGTCTGACGCTCCACCAACATGGACACAGTCACGGAGGAGGGGCGGGACACGGACACAGCCACGGGGGGGCGAACCCCGTACTGAATAATAAGGTACAAGGAACATACAATAATAATACATACAATACAACAGACATACAATACTGTCATATAGAAAAAACTAAAAATAATTATAAATATAGTGACTGTAATTAGATGGCGAGTGAGAACCATAAGTTATATATAATTCTAAGTCTTACATTTCTAATGTAATATGTTAATATCTTCTTATTAAAGGAAATCACTTTCTGACGTCCGAAGTTTATGTTCGACGTATCTCCCAATACACTTTGTCCAACATTTCCACGGATTTATTAGTAGTCCTTTAGTTCTATTTGTCCAATGTAGGATTCATTGGTCCAACATATCCTCCAAAATCATTTGTCCAACGTATCCTCCAAAATCATTTATCGAATATATCCTCCAAAATCATTTGTCCAATATATCCTCTAAAATCATCTCTCCAATATATCCTCCAAAATCATTTGTCCAATGTGTTCCAATGTATAGGAGCGTGTGGATTCTGACGCGGAGAGCTCATCTTCCCACACCCAAGATCACTCTCACACTCACGGTGAGAACATCAACGTACGGGCGGCCTTCATACACGTGCTGGGTGACTTCCTACAGAGCTTCGGTGTACTGGTAGCTGCTATCGTGATATACTTTAAGGTGAACCAGACATATAATAATAATATAACATCTTCATAAGAAAATTTTTATATTAGTATTATAAGAAAATTTTGATAATATGGTGGGATATTTAGAATTTTACTTTTTTGCTACTAATGTAATTAGTTTAATTTTTGTAACAACATTTTGAAACCTGAGAGAAATTTATAATGTACTAGCTTTTGCCGCGACTTCGTCCGCGTGGAATAGTGACTTCCGGCAGATTTTTGATTCTTCCAACATAGCTCCCGTTCTTGCGGGGTTTTCGGAATGGTTGAGTTCCCGTAGAATTTTCAGGATAAAATCTATGTTTTTTTTTATATTCACAATGAATTACTCTTAACCAACAACATATTTATTTATTTATTTGAATAAAGAGTAATATTATTATGTTGATACAACTTAAACAAATTATTTCGACCAAATTAAGTACCATAAAAATGGTTTTTGTGAGTTAATCTTAAAAGATAGACTTATACTATCGCGGACTGTTTTTTAGATCATTAAAAGAGCTATTATTCTTTAAAACATATTTTTTTGCGTATCTTGAACCGTTTTCACGGCGCACGCAACGGAAGGCTTCAAAGATGAAAAAATTTCTCCCGTTTTTTACATTTACCACTATATCTTTGCTCCTATTTGTCGTAGCGTGATGTTATATAGCCCACAGCCTTCCTCAATAACTGGACTATCCAACACAAAAAGAATTATTCAATTCGAGCCAGTAGTTTCGGAGATTAGCGCTTTCAAACAAACAAACAAACAAACAAACTCTTCAGCTTTATAATATTAGTATAGATATAGATAGCTACGATGTCTTAGTATATTGATGAAATATATAGAATGATTAAATCACCGAATGGAGTCAGGTCACAGTAGCTTAGTTTGTAAAGTACCTGGGGTATTAGTCCCGCATTAACAGGTCAAAATTAATACATTAAATTGAGTATCAAATTATGTCTTAAGTTAACTGTGAATATGAACCTTATTCTCGTTATAATAAAGTATATTTTCGTATAGCCGGAGTGGAGCCTGGTGGACCCTATCTGCACGTTCCTGTTCTCGGTGCTGGTGCTGCTCACTACATACAACATCATCAAGGACGCGCTGCTGGTACTCATGGAGGGCTCGCCGAGGGGAGTGGACTTCCAGGTACACACACACACACACACACACACACACACACACACACACACACAAGCAGATTCAAGTACAAACAGATACACATATATGTATGACAGTTGTTGGTGAATGATTTTCTTGCCGTTTTCCATGGACTATAACGATCTACACATACATGTCTATGACATGTTCCTTCAAAGTATCTATCAAAATTAATTTATATGTATTGAATTAATCATATATTTTCATTCGCTATCATATTTCTTATTTATAATACGTTATCCAGGACGTTGCCAACACGTTCCTATCTCTGCCGGGCGTGGTCCGTGTACACAACCTGCGGATGTGGGCGCTGTCTCTCGACAAGACCGCGCTCGCCGCTCATCTTGCTATACGTGAGTATAATAACTTAATAGAAGTAAAGAATACTCTTAAAATAAGGAAATACGGAGTGGCTCTACTATTTATTTGGGCAGTTAAAGAGATTATGGATGTATTTTCATAGATGACAGTTTCGCTTATCTGCCAAAAAGTGGGGTCTTTATTGATGTGGCAACCACACCTGTCACTGAATCCTACATAAACTAACCGCTATCCCTTGACAGTGACTAATTAATTCCCTACGTAATGATCAAAATAATACTATTAGTAAAGCATTCACGTTAACTTAGGGTGAAAAGTATTCCCTATGTTGTTCCCTATAGTGATCAGTACATCACCAAACATTCTCATTATCAAACTAAACACGCAACGTGTATTCTAAATTGTTCTAGAAGTATTCTTTGCTCTAATATAATAAATTCGAAATTCGAATGTTTATTCCATTTTTTTTAAATATTCTTTGCTCTAATATAATAAATTCGAAATTAGAATCTTTATTCCATTTTTTAAAATATCTTTGCTCTAATATAATAAATTTGAAATTCGAACGTCCCCAGGGAGCGGCGTGAGTCCCCAGAAGGTTCTAGAACAGGCGACGCGCCTAGTTCATGAGAAGTACAACTTCTTCGAGATGACGCTTCAGATTGAGGAGTTCAGTGACGTCATGGAGCAGTGCAGACAATGTGAGATGCCCAGCACGTAGAGAACATGAGAATCACTCACTCAATAGAAACTATGTAGGATGAATGAGAACTGTCATTATACATTCATTCATTCACACGTCACTAGAAATGAATACAATTCATTCAATAGCTTCATTCATTCGTTTTATGTAGCTTAACTTCATAGATGCATTCCATTTATCATCGTTTGACATAGTGTCAAAATGATTTCGCGCGAAAACATTTATGATAAGTAAGTTAATAAGTGAATGAATATGTTAAATGATTATTTAACAGGTAACCAATTTGAGGATGAGAAAAAGAATAAAAACGTGGTCATTAATGATGATTAATTAACGAGCGTCCTGTAAGATATTTAATTATATGCCAAACTATTAGTAAGTTATGTTTATACAATGGAGGCTTGTAACCAATGTTTTGATTGTAATAATTTTATTCGTTAGCGTTAAAGTATTTAAAATATTATTAATACCTGATAGGTGTATCAGTAATATATTATAAGTAATGTTGCTATTTGTTCAGTGTATTTCTGTTTTATCGCATGATACAATAAAGTGTATAATTATATTTATTTTTTCTTTCTTTTTTCTCGACATAAAATTCACAATTAACGAAAACTTTCATAGGTCAATTAACATTTCATAGTGTTTTATATTCAGAAATATTATTTTAACATTTACGTCAACTGACCGTTTTTTTTTCTTTTAAATCTATAGCATAAAACTGGCTGTTATAAAGATGAAATAAGTTTAAACCACACTTGTCAAATGAAACTGACAGGTTTGTACAAAAAGTATTTATATATGTATATACTGCGCCTCGCGGTGTTACCCGCGGATTTTCGAGATTTCCGGGATGTAAAGTGGCCTATGTGTTATTACTGGAAGTCAGCTACCTATATACAAAATTTTATCAAAATCGTGTCAGCTGTTTGAGCGTGAAGAAGTAACAAACATACACACACACACTCACAAACTTTCGCAATTATAATATTAGTAGGATAAAAAAAAACAAGAAAAACTTTTTGAAATATTTCACTTATTTTTATATTATACATAGTATGAATAAAGTCTGTATCTGTAGGCAAATAAAAAAGAATTTTCTGTTCTATACATAAAGTTGACTATTCCTTGTCGTATGTATCCAATAAAATGACAATTAATTCATTATTATAGCCTCTATTTGCTAGTCAGTAAGGTCCATATTCGGCAGGCAGCGGTCCCTCGCCAGCCGGCTGAAGTAAGCGGCGGACAGTCGCGGCGTGCGAGTCTTGTTCGGGGACTCGTAGTCAACTTCATACAATCCGAAACGTTCTCTGAAACATACATTTTATCTATATATAAAAGAAAGTCACATTAGTTACACTATTTATAATATACGGTTTTGGACGAAAATTCATTGAGAAATAGCTTAGACCAAGCGAAAGGATATATACTTTTCATCCGATCTAAAAAAAATTTATCAATTGACGAAATCCAAAACGTTCTTATTAACTGTCTTTACGGATGAACATGACGGCCTACCTGATGGAGGTAGTACCGTTGCTCACGGACATCCACAACATTTTTATATCGCGTATTTGCGCCAACCTTGATTAGGGAAAAAAGGGAGGGAAAAGAGAAGAGGTAGGAAAGAGAAAGAGCAACCGTCTCTCTCACTCACGGGCGAAACGCAGCCATTAAAGGCTACTTTACGACGAACTTCTGTAACATTGTGGTACTTCCTGGTCGAGTCAGCCCATATTCAAGCTGCAGTTACTAACAAAAACACATAATAATAACTCACGAGTAACCCCTCGTCCATTCAAAGTTATCAATGAGACTCCAGTACGTGTAGCCGATCACTCGACACTTGTCCTTCAAGATGGCGGCGTGTAATGCTCTCAAGTAACCGTCGATGTAGTTGACGCGCCGTCTGTCCGTCACGCCTCGCTCCAGAGATATACCGTTCTCTGTTATAAAAACTATAGGATTGTCGTATTTGTTCTTTATCCAGTTCAGAGCTTTCCTGAAACCCCACGGCACGACCTGAATGACGAAAAAAATATATTAAACCCAATTTTAATTATTAATGAGATATATTTTCACACAGTGCCGGCGTTAGAGTGACTGACACCCCGGGCAAGAATATTTTGGCGCCCACTAGAAGAAATCAAAATCGAGTATTAATTTTTTTCTAAACCAATGTGAACACTGAACGTGTATTAAGAATTCTATATTCCATCTACCATCTTTCCTTTAGTGTGACCCAGAGCTAACGACGTGGACGTAGAAAGTTATGTAGCTCCTATTTTTTTTTCATTTATAAGTATCCTACTTCCACTAATCGCCCCCCCCCCCAAATTTGGCGCCCTGGGCCGTCGCCCCATCGCGTCCCCGTTCTAACGCCGGCACTGTTTTCATATACGGTATGTAATTAGAGTTTTTAAATCATTTTACCTTAAGCCATGTTGAATTTGATTTCGGCCATTCGGCTTTTTGTGATAATATACCGCCCGTGTCGGCTTCGAAGGACGGGGTAATAGATATCTTGGATTTATTCTTAGTGACCAGGTACGTGGTGTAATGGTTCAGACCCAGGAAGTCTGAGGAACCTTTTATCATCTCAATCTCGTCTTTCGTGAATGTTGGAAGACGAGATCTCGTGAAGTGTTGTCTCCGTGAAATGGAGTCGACTCTCTTCCTCATGATAGACGGATAGTCACCGGTCTTTGAGAATATAGGATTGGCGAACCAGCCGAACTAGAAATATAGAAAATATTATAGCTGTATCATAAGACAATCTCGATGTACGTAATCTGTAAGGAACAAATAAATATTTACAACAAGGAAGTAATTCGTTTACTTTGTTTAAGAGTGTATACACATTTTCATGTAGGTATAGTTTAACGTTGGTAAACTTTACTTGACCTCTGTCTGTGTTAAAGCCATTACGGCTAACGCCTAACAGCTATAGTCAAGTCAAAAATAAAAAAAAATAGTTGCAAAGATGTTTATAATGTAAATATTAAGTCTTATGGATATTTCAGGAATATTATGACAAAAATATTAAAGCGCTGATTATTATTTATATTATATTGAGATTGCACTATGTTATATTTTTCAAAAGCAAAAATTACATTCCTAATTAAAGTATAGCATTCATGAAAAATGACTCTGGATTGTTCTCGACAACCACTGTATTAAAGTTTATTGATTTATGTATCAGTTTCCGTTCCAACGTTCATTAAAATACGTCAATAGTTGTAAACAACTATCTAATCTTCTACCCGCCGATAGATGGCGTTTTACACAAAATTTATTAATTATAATATTTATAAAGATGAATAAGTGATACTATTTATATGAGGATTCAGCTTACATTAAACTGTCTGACAGTTTCTGCCGCGATCTGGTCATCGATAGATGTCGTGGCCGCTTCGAACCATGGGAAGTCTAATGTGATGCCGACAGCTGAAATATAATGTAAAATATTATTTATAAATAATGTGTTTTTTATACAAATGTTAGCAATATTTTGAAAGTTGTTACTGCAACTCGCGACTAAATGTAGATACTAGATAAGTCTTAAAACATTGAAAACAGTCGAAATGTTTGTGAGACGAAAAGTTTTGCAATTTAAAAAAGTAATCGTAAGTGATAGTTCAAAAACAGTGTTATTACACTAGCTGCGCCCCGCGGTGTTACCCACGCTTCCGGGATTTCCGGGTTATAAAGTAGCCTATGTGTTATTCCTAGACATCAGCTGCCTGTATACAAAATTTTATCAAAATCTTTTCAGCCGTTTGAGCGTGAAGAAGTAACAAACATACACAAACTTTCGCAATTATAATATTAGTAGGTAGTGTCTTGTATTACCTCCAACTTTATGTCTGTATTCATTCTTGTACATGTTGTAAACCATGCCGTGTGCACGTAACACCGTGTGTCCACACATGTAGTCCTCGAGCCCGCTAGCCGCCGCGCCCGGCGCCTCCAAGCCTCCATACCCACCGCGACAGAACGAATACGGCTCGTTGAAAGTCAACCACGCGGTCACTAGCTCACCGAAACTATCGAACAACACCTGGACACAACACTAGTGCTAAAAAATCGTACTTACTTTATAACAAACAACAATTTAACAAATTTATTTATTTTATCAAATCACTTAACAATTCAATTTATAGTGAACGTTGACATACACTAGGCCAGGCCTGTATCGTGGACATCAATTCATTTCTAGCAGACAAATTTCAGTAAAATTTTACTAATCTTATAATAATAGAAAATTATAATCACATTTAATTATATAAGGCAAAAAGATAAGAAAAAAAAATGTAGGTAAGTGGAGTTCTTGAACAGAGAAGTGAAACTTCGTTATATTGAAATGAATTTATACTTTATTTAAGAAAAACTTTGTAAGTATTGCTTACAATTCACAATTGACCCACCCATTAACTCGAGCTTCGTATCTTTCTATCCCCTCCAGGAGTGTTAAGCGTTTAACGCAACTTTATTGGAAGTCGCATTAGAAATTTCACTTCAAAGATAGACTAACAAAAGTAAAAAAATTAAAAGTCTTATTATGAATAAATAGAAGAGTAGTAGACTGTTATGTATGTAGGAATACGATTCTTTCATAAACTCCTTAGTACTTATCAAGAACAGGTTGTGTGTTATGTTCCCGAAACATATTGAAAATTAATCGAACATCGCCGGCGCACCACACTAGTATGGTTGTAATATCGTATAACGAGTGACAATGCTGACTCGAAGGAATCAATTTTCCCTTGAATCATAAGATTCTTGACATAACACAACCGGGACCTATGTATATCATTTATTATAATACAAGCTTTCCGCCCCCAAATTCCCCCCCGAGCAGTTCGCTTATATCGCGTTTCCAAGAGAACATTTCAAAAGTCTGGGACAAAAACTATCCTATGTTCTTTCTCAAGGTCAACTCCATCTCTGTACCAAATTTCATTAAAATCAGTTCAGTGATTTAGGGATGAAAGCGTAACAGACAGACAGACAGAGTTACTTTCGCATTTATAATATTAGTAGGGATACGTCTGAGTCATTTTTCTTTAAATGAATCTTCCCTCTGGCCGTGTACAATAGCCTTTATCCTATATATCAAATTCTGCTAAACACTTGCATATAATTAATAACTTATTATAATTGAAAAACAAATATTTTTTATATGTATAATAATAGTATAAGAGACGGGATGTTTATAAAATGTTTTTATATTTATATAAACAGTGCCTTTCAGTTCCCCGTTTGATAAAACTAATGACTCATTACTGTCTAACGAACGCTATTTACTCTGATAAAGTTTTTTTTATAAATAGACTTTATAATGCAATGGTTGAGGATGTTATGCCGTTTGTAAACATAAATAAGGTTATACATGTGAAAATTGAAATATATTTTGATAGATAGCTTTCTATTTTGAGATCATAGAATACTTTTTAAACTGTTTCCATCGTTCAAAATTTTACAGTCTCAGATTTGAATTATAAAATCCTTTTTCAAACAAATACCGTTCGTACGATAATCTAAGACAAACATAATACAGTCAGATCAAAAGAAAAATGTCTTATTTATAATAATTTATTATTTTTAAACCTTAAATACTTCACACAAGTTTTTTTCATTATAAATATATTACAAACCATACTTTGAATGACAAAATAAAGATTTACATGCGACCCTTTCATGGCTAGTACTTAATCGTAGAGAAAAATTTCAGACAAAATTATTAAAAAAAAACTCTAAGAAAACACAAGAAAAACTTAATAAGTAATATTAAAATTTTATTCAATGCAATATATAGGCGCTTCCAGAAAAGTTTTAAACGATCCCTACTAGTGAAAAGTTTTTTACCACTTACCCTAGCGTAATCCAAGAAGTAATCAGCTATAATAGGATTGGTCCAGCCGCCCAGGTCTTGCAGGGCTTGAGGCAAGTCCCAGTGGTACATGGTCACTAGCGACTTGATGTCATTACGACGTAACTCTTCGAGAAGCTCAGTGTAATATCTGATTCCGTCTTCATTAACTTCGCTGTAATGCGATTAAAAAACATTTGAGGGTCGCAATGTCCAAAAATATTTATAATATTAATGAAGAGTATTGATAATCGTACTTGGATAATCCATCAGGCAGTATTCTTGGCCAGGATATTGAGAAACGATAAAACGATACACCCATTCTCTTCATGAGTCTTACGTCTTCTTTGAACTTGTAGTATGAATCAGCTGCCTCGTCCCCATTCTTGTGATCGAAGATCAAGTCAGGCCGCTGATGGGTGAATCTGTCCCAAATACTTTCACCTTTGCCTAAACGAATCAATTTAATTTGAATGTTATTATGCATCATATGTTCAAGTTATGACTAGGTTCAACTTTTATAACAAAAAACAGGCTAAAATATTAAGTTTATAAATACTGGGTGAGTTTTTTAATCTATCAGTACCAACTAGTTTGATCTTTGTGAAATACTTAAGCTCTTTTCGAAAGACATATTTTTCTTGTATCGATGTATTTCCAATTTCGTATGTTCTATTAGAATTAAACATTGATTCAATGAAAACAGCTTTAAAATATAATAGGTTTAGTTTTTTTTACTTTTAATTATTATCTTTAGAAATAATTAAAATATTTAAATAAACCTAGTAATTCTCACCTGATACATTCCACGCCCCCTCTATCTGATAAGCGGCGGTCGCGACACCGAAAATAAAGTTTTCAGGAAAACAAACGGAACACTTGACTAGGTTTGAACTCACACTGTACAAAAAAAATGAATAAAAAAGAAATATTATGTTAGAATTTTAAGTGATTCTTAAATCTCATTAATATCAACATATTCTCAATTACTCTCAAACAAAATAGTCCCTAAACTCTAAACTATGTACTATATTCGATGATTCACATTTAGTCATTGAAAATAATCACAAAAAAAATATGAAGAATGCAAAACGAGTGAAGGATACACCGACAACGAGAAGCTTAAACATCACGAGTGGGAAATACACAGCTATTCGATCACAATTGATTAAAATATTTAGTATTTCATAAAAAACTTCACTCACCCGAATGTGATGGAAATAATTAAAATAAAACTGATATGGTCCATATTAAAATACATAAAGGTCCGCTGCAGTGAAGCTCCACTAGACTACTGATAGCCCCTTGACACACGATATAATATGCAAAATAAAGCAGTTCAACAGGTTCAATGACTTAGGTATTACTTAATAACGATTTATCAATTAAATTTAATATTCGACAGTTATCAGAACTTTACTGAAACTATTTTTTTAAGAATATCTGATTAAATTGCAACTCATCAAATCAAGGGACGTCAAATAGCAACAGATCTAGCGCAGAAGCTATGGCGAATGCACAGCAGAAAATTTTAAGCTGCATTTACAACTAAGAAAAAAACCATTTATTCAGGACGAATTACGTTACGAATGCGACATGCATGATTTCCGAATAAATTTGTATCTAACTGGACGTAAGATACAAACTATTCTATATCAAATCTAGACTAAGAATAATTATCTTAATTAATTTTGGGGTGTTAAATAGTACGAATATGAACTGTTTTTCTCGATCAATTCTATTATTTTAATTTGACATTTTGTAATTACGACAAGCGCCATCTATCGATTCATTATTTCACTAAGAAAGATGATTCAGCTATCTGATAATAGATGGCGCTGAAACTAAATTTATGCCATTCTAGAAAGACAATCTCATACGAAATGGTAAACTATCTTTCTGGAAATTTGTTCCAGGTTTTTCATGAATGTTCAACGGGTTTACGTTATTGGCTCTAGGTGGCGCTTTCAAAAGTATATATAAGCGGCGTTGTGTGATCTCGTGCCAAGTTTGTTCTTGATTAACGTAGTGAGAGGTGATAACACAAATACAAAATTGAAAATGTCGTTGCTTCCATCTTGCCCGTATCACGACAGGGCCAGCAGTATGGTGGATCGTGAATTCTATCAACCATTAAACCAGTTGGTTCCTCAAGATTATTTCAAGCCTTTCGACAACGTGTTTCGTCCGTTACATAGAATGTTAAAACAGATGGATCTCCTCGCGTCATCAATGAACCGGCTGGCTGTGAACGAGGGATCGAATATAACGTCTGACGGAGAGAAGTTCCAGGTCAACGTGGACGTTCAACACTTCGCGCCAGATGAAATAAATGTTAAAGTGGTCGATGGTTTTGTAACGATAGAATGCAAGCACGAAGAGAGGCGGGACGAGCATGGATATGTTTCTCGACAGTTTATTAGGCGTTACGCGCTGCCTCAGGGCTGTTTACCAGACACTGTAATGTCTCGTCTTTCATCAGACGGGGTCTTGACGGTGACCGCTCCCAAAGTTCTCCCGATGCCTTCAACCGGTGAACGAATCGTGCCAATACAACAGACAGGACCCGTCAAGAAGATCATGAGTAACGAATAGATATATCTCCTGTTTTATCGGTTTTGTGTTAAATAATTTAAGACTGAACTATTATCTGTGTAATAATTTTAAGTTTGTAAATATATATTATTAAGTTACAGTGGAATTTTGTTTATTTTTATAACTCATTTTATTTTCAAAAAAATTAACGTAGTGGAATGTTTTTATGAACTTAAATGAATGCATGAGTACATTTATATGTGTTTTTCAATTTTTAATATTCTCATAACTACGTTAAAAATAGATGCATAGTGTCCAGCTGTGTTGGTGTTTGTTTATCATTATTTACAACTGTATCCAAAAATAAAGATATATAAGCATCCTCGTAACATTTATTCAAGTCTTTCCCAAATTTAGTTAAATAATGAAATATATAAATTATTTCCCTGCTATATAAATAGGTATTTAAGTAATTTCTATCTAATTAAAACTTAATTGCATTATATAATCCTATTACAGTGGCGGCGTTTTAACTCTAATTGAATTATATTGTACTTAAAGAATACTACCTAAATATTGAGTATATAAGACTTACGTCAATCACACATAGCTGTTTAGAAAATGCGTTATTTGTTGACATAATTACTCATACAAAAACCTTCAATTGTACTTACAACTTTTATCTCACGATAAATTTAAAATGTTTACTTATAAATAACAAATCTAAAAATACGCAACAGAAATAGAAATAATAAAGATTTCCAAATTACAATGTATGAATATCTCCCGTTCGTAATTTCATTCGAGCCACAATCATTAATTTTAATCAGCCCGAATCAATATTTTGTTTTTTACGTTTACATCAGTAAAATTAAATCAATAAAACCTAAATACAATAAAAATACTTAAAATATTTTAACAAAATTCTTATATTTCTGCTTGATAAAGCTCATTACAAATTACTGAATCACCAGAAACCGGTGTTAAAAAAAAGATTATTTGTTTCTAATACAGATGAATATATGTACTGTTTACAAATCTAAGAATAGAATTTTCATTATGCCAAATTTACTGTATAGAATATAAAATTCTTATTCAATACAAATTATGTTAGGATAGTAGATTAATATTGATAAACGTAAGTAACAAGTGATCCACAGTCGTATAGATTACAATTTCGGGTAATTTATTATTTAACATTTCAGTAAAAAGTTAATATTACTATAAAAACAGTAATAAGACAGTAGTTTTACTTTTAATTTTATTTGCCACAGATTAAATACACAATTAAATTCTGTCAACATAAAATTCAAAACCGTTCACAAAATTTAAATCTATATAATATATATTTAAATACTTCTCTAATATATATCAAATATTTAAATTATTTTGTGTAGTGTTGAATGAAAAAAAAAACTAAAAAAAAATATTTCAAAAACCTAAAATAATTCAAATGTAATAACGTCTTCTTACTTTGTATAAAAACTTCTGGATCGATTATGCTTTCAAGAAATTTCTGGAAGCGCCTTACTGACATCTAGTGTCGAGTAGGAAAATTAAAGACAGAGAACCTAAACATTTTTATATGTTTATTTAGCGACATAATTTTTATTAACTAAGTTACAATATTTTGTCAAGTTTAAATCATAATATAAAATTTCCATGAAAAGTTATAAATGATAACATTAAATTTAAAATTTTAAAATTTTATTAATATTAAATAAATTATATAGTTTTAGTTTTGATTAGTATGATTAAAAATGTTGGGATAATTTTATAGTTATATAAGTAATTTAAATCGTATAATATATAATATAAGTAAGTATTTCTTAATTCGTTTTCACATATTTATTTTCAAATACGAATGCCGGAATCAGAACCGAAGGTTAACAACACCGTGAGACTCAATCGTTCGATAGGAGTCTGAATGTTCTAGATTTTTCTTTACTATTCTACTTAATACCAGATGGCGCTTATCCGTACCAAATGCTTAGAAGCCATTTTATTATTCAGTCTACAGTCAAGTGGCGAACTGAGACGTGTACCAAAATTTCTATAAACGTATTCTCTGAATATCTGTGATTCTAAGTGAATTTTGTTAATCGATACTAATCAAGATGTCGATGTATCCATTTTTCCATGAATATGAACGACCACGTCCTCCGAGGCGTCTGATGGACGAGCACGTTGTTCATGGGTTGACGCCCGACGAATTTCTCACCATTGCTATGCCGCAGATGAACAGAAACTACTGCAGGCCTCGGAGAAATCTAGCAGCGGCTAACCAGGACACCGGCTCCACTATCAAGGAAGAGAAAGACAAGTTCCAAGTGAATTTGGATGTTCAGCATTTCGCCCCGGAGGAGATTTCTGTGAAAACAGCAGATGGATTTTTAATTGTTGAGGCTAAGCATGAAAAGGATGAGCACGGTTTTATTTCAAGAAGTTTCTCACGAAGGTATCCTTTGCCAGAGGGTGTTCTAGACGATTCTGTGGTTTCTAAATTGTCTTCGGACGGCGTGTTGTCTATCACAGCTCCTTTAAAGCCTCCTCCGAAAGCTTCAAGTGAACGCGTCGTGCCAATCGTACAAACTGGACCGGTGAGGAAGCAGTCAGAATCTCCTGAGGAGCAAGGATAAGATTTAATAATGATTTATTGTTGGACATTCCTTTGTATCTTATTTTGTTGGTGACATGTACACGGCGCTTTTATGTTGAGAATAAATGAAATTCTAGTCTGTATTTTGTTTTATATTTTACCTTGCTTCAGTAATTACCAATAATAGTTGAAACATTAGTATTACTTAATTAATTTTTAATAAGGAGTAAGTAAAAGTTACTAAAGAGTATAAATTGATAATCTATCTTTGTTGAAATAAAACAGGTTTGGGGTATAAGCCACAGACTTAAAAATCTGATCTATTTATCTAGTATCGTACGATCGGAGGTGACATGAACTAATTTCTTTAAATAGAAAGCATATTTTTACCAATACTATTTTAAATTAAATTCACAGGGATGCTAAGTATTAGGTATTAATATATATTTTCATAATAGTAACGATATTATTTATTTAGCGACATAATTTTTATTAACTAAGTTACAATATTTTGTCAAGTTTCAATCATAATATAAAATTTCCATGAAAAGTTATAAATGATAACATTTAATTTAAAATTTTAAAATTTTATTAATATTAAATAAATTATATACTTTTAGTTTTGATTATTATGATTAAAAATGTTGGGATAATTTTATAGTGATATAAGTAATTTAAATCGTATTATTATTAATTTGTTTTCACATATTTATTTTCAATTACGAATGCTGGAATAAGAACCGAAGGTTAACAACACCGTGAGACCCAATCGTTCGATAGTAATCTGAATGTTCTAGATTTTTCTTTACTATTCTACTTAATACCAGATGGCGCTTATCCATATAAATACGATATGCTTAGAAGCCATTTTATTATTCAGTCTACAGTCAAGCGGCGAACTGAGACGTGTACCAAAATTTCTATAAACGTATTTTCTGATTATCTGTGATTCGAAGTGAAATTTGTTAATCGATACTAATCAAGATGTCGTTGTATCCATTTTTCCTTGAATATGAACGACCACGTCCTCCGAGGCGTCTGATGGACCAGCACTTCGGTCTGGGGTTGACGCCCGACGATTTTCTCACCATTGTTGTGCCGCAGATGAACAGAAACTACTGCAGGCCTTGGAGAAATCTAGCAGCGGCTAACCAGGACACCGGCTCCACTATCAAGGAAGAGAAAGACAAGTTCCAAGTGAATTTGGATGTTCAGCATTTCGCCCCGGAGGAGATTTCTGTGAAAACAGCAGATGGATTTTTAATTGTTGAAGCTAAGCATGAAGAGAGACAGGACGAGCACGGTTTTATTTCAAGAAGTTTCTCACGAAGGTATCCTTTGCCAGAGGGTGTTCTAGATGATTCTGTGGTTTCTAAGTTGTCTTCGGACGGCGTGTTGTCTATCACAGCTCCTTTAAAGCCTCCTCCTAAAGCTTCAAGTGAACGCGTCGTGCCAATCGTACAAACTGGACCCGTGAGGAAGCAGTCAGAATCTCCTGAGGAGCAAGGATAAGACTTTATAATGACTTTTTTTTGGACATTCCTTTGTATCTTATTTTGTTGGTGACATTATGTACACGGCGCTTTTATGTTGAGAATAAATGAAATTCTAGTCGGTATTTTGTTTTATATTTTACCTTGCTTCAGTAATTACCAATAATAGTTGAAACATTAGTATTTTACTTAATTAATTTTTTAATAAGGAGTAAGTAAAAGTTACTAAAGAGTATAAATTGATAATCTATCTTTGTTGAAATAAAACAGGTTTGGGGTCAAAGCCAGAGACTTAAAAATCTGATAAATTTATCTAGTATCGTACGATCGGAGGTGACATGAACTAATTTCTTAAAATAGAAAGCATATTTTTACCAATACTATTTTAAATGAAATTCACAGAGATGCTAAGTATTAGGTATTAATATATATTTTCATAATAGTAACGATATATACCATTAAATTATACATCATTATCCTGATACACTATTAAGTATTATCTGGATGGAATGAAGTAATAGCCACACATATTAAAACATCATATTTTATGGCATTTGAAATTTTTATGAGTTTTAGTTTTCTTATTTGTTTATCCCAAATCTCTAGATATTATCTCACTTTTAACAATAAGTAGAATCAAAATAAAAACAATGTTACTTATTAGTTATTGTAATGTTTTATTATGTTAATTTTACTTAGTTATTGCAATGTTAATTTGGGTCTAATTTGTAATAAGTAGGACCTCGGTTATCCGAATTCGCGATTATCCGGACTGCCAATCGCGACGAGTTTATTCTAACACAAGCTGTGCCCGCGACTTCGTTCGCGTGGAATAGTGACTATGAGCTGCATTTTTTTTTAAATACATATATACTTATTTTTATTTTGGATCATAATCACAGTCATTTTGGGTAGCTAAAAAACCTACTTTACTGTAATGCTTCTCTATATACAATATTAGACGTATGGCCATCGGGGGTGAAAGCATACAGGCTGCTGGGATTGCTAACACGGGACAGAGCCACATACAATTGACACACCCGGTCGAATATTGAACGCAGTTCTTCAGTTCTTTAATTTGACATAACTTTTTTATTTATGAACCGATTGACATGAAACAAACACTAAAGCATAACTGAAGCATACCACAATATATTCGTGAAAACCGAATCCAACTCGGATCAGCCGTTTCTTAGATTAGCGTGAACAGACAAAAAAAAAGTTAATTACATTTTTGGGTTCGACATCGACATAACAATAATCCCTGTTATTTTTTTATTTTTATTTTCAATGTACAGACAGCACTTTTCTACAATTTTATTATTGTATGTATAGATTAACATGTCAGAACTTGCATAACGCCATGCCACTTATCACACTTATACGTACATTATGTACAATTTCTTAATAAACGTTGATTTTCGCTCATATGTATTTGTAGTTTTAAATAAACACCTAACATGCATATGCAAAAAGCCCGTTTTTCTTCATATATTGGATTATCCGGACTTTCACTTATCCGGATGCCTACCGACAACAATTAGTCCGGATAATCGAGGTCCTACTGTATATCATTATACAGTGGCGTCACTCATATTTTATAAAATTTTTGGACCTTGAAGCTAGGTTGGTGCATTGGTTATTAGTTTTGGTAATACCTGGCTCTCACCCAGGAGGCTCGGGTTCGATTCCCGGTATCGGAATTACTTTTGAAAAAAGAGCGCAGGGATTGAAACGTTGACGCGGGCTTTTTGAAAATTTTAATTATTTTAAATAGTTTTATACTATAAATTGCAAATTTTGTTTAGTTTATTGTAAAGAAGTAAAACTTAGTCTGTATACATATATATACACACATGTCTCTCCACATAAACACATGTTTATGTGGAGAGATGGTGAAGAAACGTAAAAAGAAGGATTCGGGTGAGTCCTTGCTTTTCAGCACAAGCAGCGATTCCGATTGCGACGATTCGCCAGTATTGCAGGATGCAAATGCCTTCGCTCCCTTTAGGGTCGCTGATTATTGTCGGCGATACCCTGAAGATGCGGAAGCCAAGTCTGAATTCATAATATTTGTCGAAAGTACTAATGATGTCTCACTCGGTAATAGGGACATGATGTCGCTTAGTACTAGTTTTATACGCTCTGTGAAAAGTATACAATATTTTAAAAAAATAAATAAATATAAGGTCGGTGTTGTTTTCCAACGTGCGAATTTGGCAAATGCCTTTTTAGAAAATACTACATATCTAAAGGAACGACTTAAAGCTTCAATACTAGCAGAGGCCACCGAACTATCGGGAATTATCTCTTCGGTTCCCACTCATCTATCCAATCACAAAATATATAAAGCAATATCAACAACAAAAAAAGTCTTTTCTATCTGACGCATAATGCGTAAAGTAAAAGGAGAAAATAACACCTTCACACTGCAACCTACTCAGAGCGTAGTAATAACTTTTGCGTCTGCTACGTCACTGCCGGACTATGTTCACATTAAGATGTGGCGCCTGCCTGTCTCCACATATGTCCCACCTATAAAACAGTGTTTTCAATGTTTACGCTATGATCATCTGGCTAAGTTTTGTAAAAATACACCGCGATGCTCCATATGCACAGAGGGGCATTCTTTCAAAGAATGCAAGGTTAACATTGAAAAAGCTAAGTGCATTAATTGTAATGGCAATCACATCGCTATCTCTAGCCAATGCCCTATAAGGCAAAAGAAAATCACAAACAGTAAACCCAAGTAAACCAAAGTCATATGCTGACACGTTAAAAGATTCATTAAATTTTCCCTCCCTTATTAAAAAATTTAATACTCGAGAAGTAATCCAAGCAATACTATCAAATTCTGAAGCAATGACTCTATTAACAGAAACTATAGTAAAAGTTATAACTTTAAATAAAACTCAAAATATCAGTATTAGTTCACAATTTATTAGCTCAGCTATTAAAGAAACCATACAGGATAAAAATAACAATTCGTCACATTCAACCACCAAATCTTAAATATTGTACAGTGGAACGCTCAAAGTCTGTTAAGTAACAGACTTGAGTTTCAAAATTTTTTATACCAAAATAATATACATGTAGCTCTTATTTCAGAAACTTGCTCAAGCCTAATATTCAATTTAATTTACGTGGTTATACCATTATTATGAATGACTGCGGTAATGATCATGATGGCGTAGCAATATTAATTAAAAATGGTATACATTTCTCTAAACTAGATACTTTTAGATTACAAAATGTAGTAATTGTTATTAAACTGAAACATATAAATGCATTTCTTTGGTTTTTACAGTCCTGGTAAACGTTTTCCTGCTTTTGAAAAGGCGAAGTTCGATCGTTTATTGTACAGTATTCCAAAACCGTTGATAATTAATTGCAGTTGATTTTAACGCCCATCATACTTTTTGGGGTTGCAGTCGCATAGATTCTCGGGGCAGAGCTATTATGGATTCCATGGATGACCATGACTTAATACTTTTAAATAATGGTCAACCAACAACTATAGGCTCTCATATGTGGAAACCAAACGGTCTACATTTAACTATGGTGTCTTCTTCTTTATTTCTTTCTTGTGACTGGCAAGTTCATCAGGACCCTTTAGGGAGTTATCATCTGCCAACTATCACAAAATTTACTCTCGTAAGAGATCAGCATGAGCCCTCTATTCCCTTGAACAACATTCCTTTTCACAGCAATCTGAAATTAGTAAATTGGGATAGTTATGAACAAATTGTTAATAAAATGTTAATGAACTTTAAAGTTGACAATAGTGATCTGCTTGACTCATAAGTCATACAGAAAGTTTTGTGCAATTATTCTATTGGCAATCAAATTCTCCGGGCCCAGCTTAAACCATAACACAAGTGATAGTAATAATAACCGTCCTAGAAAAAGGTGTCAAGTACCTTGGTGGAATGATAAATGTTCAAAAGTAATAGAAGATTGCAAGAACGCCTACATTAATTTCAAACGCGCACAAGCCTTTAAAAAACACACTTTAAAAGAAGAACGTTGTAAAAGTTGGTCTGAATTCTGCTCAACAATAAATCGTTTGACATCTATAAATCGCATTTGGACTAAAATAAGAAAATTCAAAAGAAGCTTTCCGAGTTCTAACTTATTTTCTGACTTCAATTGGGTTCAAACATTTTTATATAAATACACACAGGATACTGTTTCACAACAGATAAGTATAGATAATGTTCTTGGAGTAAATAGTGATAATTCATACATGATCGGTCGTTTTACTATGCAAGAGTTAAAATCTGCTTTAGCCTCAAGAAAAGATTCTTCATGTGGCTTGGATTGGCTTTCCTACAGAATGTTGAAACTTTTAAATGTTCAAACTCTATCTAATTTTGAAGTCTATTAAATAGTTTATGGTTGTCTTCTATTATCCCAGAGGATTGGAAAACTGACTGTTTGGTACCAATATTAAAATCTGGTAGACTTTAATTTGGCTGATTCTTATCGTCCTATTGCACTGAGTTCATGTGTTGAAAATTTTTTCGAACAATCAATAAAACAGAGATTAATTTTTCACATAGAAAATAATAATCTTTTACCTACCAATCAGTTTGGCTTTCATTGTGGCCGTTCTGCTTGTGAGAGTCTACGTCATTTCTGTTTGGATATCCAGGATGCTCGTTCCGAGAATAAAGTACTAGTTGGTGTTTTTCTTGACATTGTAGGGGCTTTCAATAATGTAGATCTGAACAAATTATCCCCAATATTATTATTACTGCGGGTACCTGGAAAAGTTGTAAATTGGATTTTTAATTTTTTGAACTACAGAAAGGTGTTTGTTAAGGTTAACAATCAGTTATTTGGTCCAAGATATTCTTGTAGAGGTATATCACAGGGTGGTGTATTGAGCCCATTGCTTGTTATCCTATTCATACATCAGCTAAATTTAACTCTGGGGTGTGAAGTATCTAATCTGCAGTTTGCAGATGATTTAGTTGTTTATTGCTCTCCAAAGACTAAAGAACTACATATTTTGATAGCCTTGGGCTGGAGGTCAGCAATGAAAAAAGTAAAGTTGTTGTCTTTTCAAAAAATGGAGTTAGAAATAGGAATGTAAATATTTTGTTCAATAGTAATGTAATGTCTGTAGAGAGATCTGTAAAGTTTTTAGGTGTTATTTTTACAAAGAATTCTAGATGGAATAAGTATGCTGAAACTCTAGAATGTCGAGATTTAAATGCTTGTAATGTTTTAAAATCTTTAACAAGCACATATTGGGGTGCTGATCCAAGGATTCCATTAACATTATATAAATCATTAGTAGGGAGTCATATTGAATATGCTTTTATTATTTTGAATATGAATATGCTTATTATAATGGGTGCCATGCGAACTACTCCCATTAGCACTTAGGTTTAAATACTTACAATTAAAATTTTTTGCAAGGTTTCTCTCCATTAGTAAACATCCACTTCTTGTTAAACTGCGGGACACTATTAACAGGACTGCCAATATTAATTCATATGTGTTTCAAGGTTTTTCTGAAACAGAACAAATTTTTAATAAACATAATGTATTTTCTAGCATGGTATGGCTTTGTTACTCTGGGATTATATGAATCAAAATTTATTCAGATTAAAATTGTAGTCAAAAGTATTCTAAAGTATAAGGAAGACATTTATAGGGAACTTGATAGGTGGCAGGGATATCATCAGATATATGCAGATGGGTCTAGGAACAATTAAGCAGTCTCTATAGCTGTCTATGATACTCAGATCAGAAGTGGATTTGGTCATAGGCTGAATCCACTCACAAGCATATACTCCACTGTATACACAGCTATGGAGCACATTCAAACACAGACTCATCAAAAGTGGATTATAATAACAGATAGTTAAGTTTATTAACGGTACTACAAAATCCACAATTAAATTCAAAAACTAACTATATTATATATAAAATAAGAGAGTTGTATCACCGGCTGTCTCAAAACAAGCAAATAGTCCTATTCTGGACACCAGCCCACATTGGTGTGCATGGTAATGAGCAAGCAGACTATTTAGCTAAATTTCTTACAAATCCGGCCCACAATCAATTAAGTCATAGCTTTTTAAATTTCCCAATTCCTTATTCAGACGCTCTATCCCTTTTCAAACTCACGTTACAGAAAGAATTTTACAACTTATGACATCAGGTGGTAAAGGTAAAAGGAAAATGGTTCGCTACAATAAAGAAAAAGGTCTCTTCCCCCTGGTTTACCCGGGGTAGTGACTATAACCATAGAAAGTATTACACCACAATCTGTCGTTTGTGTCTGGGACATTGTAGTTTTGGTGCTCACCTTTTTAGGATTGGTGTTTTTGACTCTTCAACTTGTAGATATTGCAATAGTGCTGATGAAACAAACCCTCGAACATATATTTTTTGACTGTCCACAGTATAGTATTCAAAGGATGGTCCTTGTAGACCAACTTTTAAGTATTTTTAAAACTGCTGATATCCCGCGCTCCCTTCAGCAAATACTAAGCATTCAAGAATGCTTCTTGCCAGTTCATGGCTTTATTGTTTCTACTATAAATAAAATCTAATTGTTATTTGTGCATATTTATATAATACTAATTTGCTCGTTTTGTTTAAGATATTTGTTTTCAGCTATTTTCAGAATTTGACTGTTATAACGATTTTGATTTTTGACAAATTAATTATTGTACCAGTGTTGCCAACCTCAAAAAACTAAACAACTCGCATAAAAAAAAAACAGTAGAAAGCGGTAAGTAAAGAAAAAAGGCAGATTTCATAATTTTGCTCCTATAATTAAATAATAAACAACTTTCTTAGTTAGAAGAACTCACATAAATTGATATATTTATAATCGCGGCAACATAAAAAAAATCAAAGTAAAATTATTTTTCAATTTCATTTTCAATTGCCTCATCTTCAATATTTTTATTACGTAGTGGTTTGTCATTGCGTTTTATTCCGTAGTGGTTATCAAAAAATGTATTAGGTGGCGCTGAACGCGAAAAACAGTAGAAAATAGGAATAAAACAGAAAACATGGTCATCAATGTGAAAACAGCAAATCTACTGTTAAAACAGTAGGGTTGATAACGCTGTATTTTACTAAAAATGACATTACAAGGACTTGACATTGAAAAAAGACGGAATGTAAAAAAGAAAGAATTTGACAAAAAAATATATATTTTAAATAAAGACATGGCTTCCGCCTTATAATTTAAAAAAATATATTTAAGATGAAAATTAAAAGAAGACATGGCTTAGGTCTGATATAAAAACTTGAATCAAGAATAAAAAGAAGAATAATACATGACTCCAGCCTGACATTTAAAAATATGTAATTAAAGATACAAAATCGGCTTTGTTGTATTTGCCTGTTGTGAACGGAACGAACAAAACCAAAAAAAAAAAAAATGTTTTGGTAACTTTTCGAGTTAATTAAATAAAAAGTCTTTTCATCTCTTTAGGTCCTTCAATATTTGCCTTATAGGATAGCTATAAATAAACTTACCAAGACTATACAAAAACGTTATATATACTACATATAAACAGCTTAAGTGAGTCTGGTTTTAAAGAGCTTTCTTTCTATCCAGGAAGAACGTTAAATCGGCTTCCATAGAATAAATGATAAACATATAGGTTCATTCGGAGCTTTGCTTCAATTTATTTGTTTCATTTTTAAAGTTAAGTAAAGCGACATCTAAACATTGTAAGGAGAACTAAATTGCGCCCTTGTTATATTTGTCTTTATGTATTTTTCCCTTACAGCAATAGATGGCGTTGTTTACCAATCTAAAAATAAGATCACTATCAAATAGTTATCGTTTGTTTAAACACAGTTGATAACAATTAATACGGCAATTAATAATAATTTTTACTTAAATAATTTAGCTCGGTTTTGTTTTAATATTTAAGAGAAAAATTTATAAAGCCGTTCCAAGAACGGCAGTTATTTCTGATACATGCAAGCAATTTTCTGTTAATTGCTTTCGAGAAGCTTAACAGAAACTACATGAGTACTCAAGAGTTCCTTGGTATATACACTTTTAATGATGAATTAAAATTGTATCATACGTTTGCCATTGTTATTTCATAACGTTTTGTATTTCCTTAATTTAAATGTTTTTAAAAGTTATTTTTATTATTTGACACGGTTTTGCTTCCTTTTCTGGTGTTATACAGGGTGACTGGTGAATTACTATCGATATTTGAGGACGTGATATTTGACGATCATATATGACAAAATAAAAATTAATATCATAAATATTTAAACTTCTAAGTAAAGTTTTCTAAGTAAAGTTGATCATGTACCGAGTTTTCCTTAAATCTGATAGTAATAGAGACCCTGTATAATGTTTTTCTCTTCACATAGAGATGATAATTTCGTATTATTCTTATTTTTAATAATAATACACGTGATTATTTAAATAAATCCAATTTAAGTACTCCCTACTTTATCACCTATCTGACGACGAAAGTGCCGTAAACACTCAGATTGAGAAAAACTTAAAATAGTTTTTTGTACCTATATATCATTAAAAAAGGCATTTAATAAAAAGTCGGCACTCTAATTATACAAATGGACACAGATATTTTATTTATTTGTATTGATTATATTTGTTTTATTGACCAAATGATTTTTTTTAATTTCATTATATTAATATAGGTGTTCTGGCGTAATTTTAACTAAGGACTTACTTGAATCGTTTCATAATAGAGGTATTTTGAAAAGCTGATATTGATTTTGAGTATTTAGATTAAACAATAATTATTAAAATAATTGTTTCACTAATTAGACGTAAACATGACTATTGGAAGGATAGAATAATCATAATGTATGAACCTTTATTGATAAGCCTTATTGAGCTTTTTCTTTGGAGTCTGTATCTTTAGATTGTTAAAAAATTGTTTTTAATTTAAATAATTTTATTCACATTTCTTTGATAAAATATTTCCAGGTGTTAAGCATATTAATTTTATGAAATAAACATAAGTAACTAGTGTTGCCATAAAATATATTGTAACAATGGAAAACATAGTTCTACTGTTGTAATAAACTTCTACTATTAGTACAGTGTATTAATTAATTCATTAATATAAACCATAAAATATATATAGAACTTATTCTAAGTGGTTTCCATTGACTGCAACACATTCCTTTAAACTTCAAATTCAGTTATCAATAGATTTTTCTATGGGAAAATTCTTTTTTATCTATATATAATCATAGGAATTATCTTTTAGAGTTAATCAGTTTAATAAAAGGTTAAGAAAAATAAATTAGTTTCGTATAATCAATCTTTTCTTATGATAAATATGTTTAATCCTAGTTTTGTCGCCATAGTTGTGGTAATTTTTATTTTGCGTCATAGTGACTGTTTAAAATGAGTTATCTTTCTTTCGTGGTGCAACTCCGACTAAACTAAAGTAACTTTCTGTAAACATTGTCCTAACGGCCACTAAGTTTCAACTTGTCTTAACTGTCTCTACCAAGTCATTAAATGCAACCCATTACATATTTATTTTTATTCCTTGTATGAAATGCAATTTAAATCGACTATGAATAATATTATTAATGGTTTTACAAATAAAAACACCAATATATGAAATGTATTTATGGTTAACCGTTGACGTCACACTTAAATCAACAATTATTTTACTGTCTATATTTATTTATTATGTTTTATTTTTAATAAAATAAAAATATTTATGTCAAAATTTCAATGAAAGTTATATATAATAATAGCAATTAGGTAAATTAAAGTTTTCCTGAGTGTATAAAAAATATAAATTATATTACAATTTATAACATTTATAAACGGTAAGTTCTACTGAGTTTAAGGATTCTTTACAGTGCAGGGCGTCTTAGAGGCCTTATTAACTTTGTTTGGACTAGAAAGATAGGCAGTGCCTTTCATCTTAGTAGAAAACAAAACATTTTGGTGAGGTTCGTTAGCCTAAAATATTTAAATGAATAGAATACTTCACTCGTAGGCGAAAAAAAAAAAAAAAAAAGGTGCACAAAAAGATGACCTTATCGTTTATGAGCGATTTTTGCAATTGTGATCTTACTTAAATACTTTTTTTAAGATGGTGCCTATTGCGTTTCTGGATTTATATTTGGCCAGTATTTTGGTTGATATTTGAATATTTGTAATTGTACAGTACTTTATAAATATAAAAGAGATGGAACTTACGACCTATGTTGTGACACAACCGTAATATTTAAAAACGAAGCTTTATTATTTTTATATTTTTTTGGTGTTTTTAATTTTACAATTTCTTTTAATTTCTACCAACGATATAAAAAAATGAAATGTTTACGGTTGACTGGTGTTTTGTATAAAGTTAATAAAACAAAACCAAAACAATATTTCCGCTTTGCTTCACTTCACTTCAAAGATTTCGACTCTTTAAAATATAATTTTATAAAACTTCACCCCTCTCAACTTCATGACTTCCAAACAACTTGACCATTTTCATTACATTTAAAAACAGGCTGAGTTGACGACAGGATAAATTTCTGATAGCTGATGATGTTGAAAAGGACATAGAAATTATTTTTTGATAAAACTTGCATATCTACATTAAAGCATTTGTATTTGGACAGCCTTAAACACTATTCTCCTTATTTTTCTAAAGGTCACCTGGTAGAGAACCGATATAAGCATTAAGCTTTTCTTTTGCGCTCAAAATTGATTGAAAAGAAGAAATAAATAAATAAAACCTTCATTATTTTGATCATTTAATTAAAATGTTGATCTAAGCTATCATCACACTATACATTGTCTCTTAACAAACTGATTTGAAAATACACAATATTTTTTTTAAAACATAAAATAATGCCCTTTAATACAGTTCATATTGTAGGTAGTAGGACCTAGTTATAAAAAATGCACGAGTCCATAGCTAGCTAGTCTAGCCTATAGTTCAACTCAGTCCTTCTCAAGGAAAATCTGCTTCAAGTAGCTACTTTTAGTTCGATGACTGAGAATTCCATCTCTAAGTATCTCTGTTCCTATTTTATCATCTTTTATCTTACAAATCTCATCCGTTCAATAGCTTTTGTGACAGTTACTTTCTGATTTACGTTCTTGTTAGAAAAATAAATTTTCGATTTCAAATGCGAAATATATATCTTCAAATAGTGAATTATTTCAAAAATAGCTATATGAAAAGTAATGAATACTTATAGTATTAGTGATAAATAATAAAATATCTCAATAAGAGGGCGTGTTTAACATCGTTTACCTGTAATTAATGTGTTGATCGGCTATCATAGTACTGTAATTAGTTGATAAATGTCCTATGAGAACGTGTAATTAGTACCATTGTAATAGAAATAACACTGTTATTGAGACGTCTTTGTATTGGTAGTTCGTGACTCAATCAACCAGAAGATATAATATACTATGTTGGTATTAGAAATTAAAATTTTGTTCTTAGAGTTATACGTGGTTCACGAACCAATTATTTAATTCAGTTTTTGCACGACGTTGGAACATCTAGAAGTGAAAATTTTACTTATTTGGATAAAATGTATTATAAATAATTAAATTGTTCTCGTTAATTTGTAGATCTATAAAATTTTAAGGGTTACGATTTCTGAATGTTTATCGTAATACATATTTTTTTTCTAGTGCTTAATACTCATGGACCTGTCGAGCTTTTCAAGATTCTACATACATTACCATTGGATATATTATGTCATTATTTTTAATAAAATTCTTATAATTCTAAAAATTTTGGATTTTAGAAATACGAAAAAAGATTAATATTACTTGATTGTTAATAAACATTCCTTATTCTAAAAAAAAATTGAAAACTATTTGACTTCTTTCTTCTTATCAAAAGAATTATCTCACACTAAGCTGCTACCATTAGAATCCTACCAAAATTAAAATAGATACGAAATGACTTTTTTTGAATGTATTACTTTGTGATTATATCTAGTGTTTTATTGTAATACATTTGCTACCTATAATATTCTAATTCAGGTCCGAAGCGGGGCAATGCGTCTCAGTGCATGTATGCCTGCTGCAGTGGGCGGGTTTTATGCGCAAGAGAAATGGTTGTGCAAAGACTGATGGGTTTCACTCCTTGTACCGTGGCCTCGTCCTCGCTCTGACTATCGCCTACCTCGTTCAGGAGTTCGTGTATGCTTATCAGGAGAGGAATGACATGGCGAAACTGTCACGAGTCATGTTCCTCTTACTTTGCCATATAACGTCCATCGCTAAGCAAATAGTTTTTCCATTACGATGCTGACAGAATACAGGAGATGATTGAAGGTTTTGATGGTGAGTCATGTATTAACTTTATTTTAGAACAAAAAAACATTGTCAAATTGTTTTTAAAGATATAACTTGTAACTAGAAGTGCCACAGAACTAGTTTATGCATAGTTTTGTGGGTTATATATTATAAGTAAAATACAAATAAGCAATATCCTTAGATCCCACATATAACGGAGAAAGTGCTAGTGCACGCTCGTTACTGCGAAGTACGACATTGGTGGCGCGGCGTTTAGAGCAGGCGTATGCAGGCTGTGCTGTGCTGACTTGCACATTATGGCTTGTGTTCCCTGTGCTGCACAGACTGTCTGGTAATCCTGTGCAATTCGCTTTCTGGACCGGTATTGACACAGACCCACCAGTGATGTTAGTATCCCTACAACGTGTATTAATTGTAAACTATATATTTTTTGTAAGTTATTCTCCTTACAGTGTGTTTTTGGCATTATTATTATTAAATCTGAATGTCCAAAAAGTTTCTAACAATTTACTGAATTACGAATATTTACATCAATGAATTCATCTCGTTAGGTTTGTAGCTGTTCTATTGTACTCGTACTACGTGACCACTTTAGTCGGAATTGCAAATACAACGATGGACGCATTCATTCGCTACTATTTTATTCCAATGCAAAACACAATTGACCATTTTGAGGTAAGATTTTTTTTGTTTCATATTAAGTATTGAATATGGAAAAGAACTTAAAATATAGGCAAGTAATCGGATGTTTAAAATATTTTCTATGAATACGTAATATCGAAAATGGGCGATTAAATGGATAAAAAATTCCCATTCCTGTTTTTGGTCATTGAATCAGTCTTACAAGTCTCCACTACTATTGAAACTTTGTTATATTTGACCAATGACCAGTCTGATCAGTTATGCCAAATGAGCGTGACTTTTGACTTTATCGTTAGGTTTTATACATGAAAAATTAAATCCTTTTTGAGGCTTCAGTTCTCACAGCTTGAGGTTCATCAAACCAAAAATCAAACGTCAGGTTATTATTGAATTATACTCTCATACTTATGTCCTGTTTTAGATTAGATTTTCAAACTCTTCCTCAACGCGCCCTAATTGAATGTCAAAAAAATGATCTCACTTATGAAAGCGCTTTAATTAAGCTGTTCGTGAAATGTTTTCTCCATTACAGACGAGTGACCGAGTAAGTATTGAGAGAGATTTGATTTTATTATGCGTTAAAATCGAGAACTCAAATATTGGTTTCATATTATGTCTTATTCCAAGAACGGCTGCGTTATTGCAAGACATCTTTGGAACAGCGATACTAGTACAATTTGGTATAGGAGGTTGGATTCTTTGCATGGCTGCCTACAAGCTCGTCAGTGTACGTATAAAATAAGAAACGAAAAATAATATGTGTATCTAATGTCAATAAATCTCTAGCAGTATCCAAGCAGTTAAACAAATAATTGTTGATAGATAATATTAAATTAAAGAAGACCTTAGTATTACATCACGCAGCGTGTCCTGTAACAAAAATCTTCAATAATTCGTCAATAACTGTTTCGAGATCATAAGCATGTATACGAATATAAAGATAAAATACAATAGTTAAGATTTGTATCCAGTACTCTGACACAAAATATTAAAATTTTTAGAATTAATATATCTAAATGAGCAAAATTCATAATTATGTAATATTTTTTTCAGCTTAACATATTGAGTATTGAATTCGCGTCCATGACACTGTTCATTCTCTGCATACTCACAGAATTATTTCTATACTGTTATTACGGGAACGAACTTACTGTTGAGGTAATCTTCTTATTAGCTGCTATGTATCAAAAATATTTTAGTTAATGAGATATAAGATTTTCGCGAGTCTTATTCATTTAAATGAAACTAATATTTTTATGATGTACTAGGCAACTTTATTTTTGAAAAAAAAACTGCTTAGTCTCGACGTTTCGGCTATTTTTCAGCAACCGTGATCATGGGCAGACGAGTGGTGAGTGTCTGTTAAAAGTAATTGAAATGTCGAGAGTATGTAGTTTTTTTTCAAAAATAAAGTTGAGTAGTACATCCGAAATATATTAGTTTCATTTAAATATTTTAGTTATATTACAATTATAATTGTATTATCCAGAGTGAGCTCATAGTTCGGTCGGTGTATTCAATGAAGTGGGTTAGTTCTCCGCTGCGTTTCCAAAGACTGTTGCTTCTTCTCATGCTGCGTGTGAGACGTACCCTTCGCCCAGCCGCCGGCCGAGTCATACCACTATCACTTGACACATTCGTTAAGGTTATCATTATATTGTACTATCATTATTACGTAAAACTAACACATTTTTTTTTCTGACATTCTAGTTAACCTGAAATCTTTTTCCGTCAATCTGTTTTATATAACTATGGCAAAAAAAGAGGAATTTTTAAGTCACTAATAGTATAAGTGTAAATTAATAGGTTTAAATAATTAGATTAATGTGATTTAAGCATGTAATTAAGTAGTTACAAAAGCCTTAATCATTTTAAAATATACGTAATTGCTGTTAAGTTTATCTTTAACTCAAGCAGGATATAAATTTTATAAGCTATGTAATTATATTTAATTTATCCTAATTCTGTTTGTTTAGTAAATATCTTTTGATTAAATTTTCAGATTCTTAAATCATCGTATACATTTTACGCCGTGCTCCGTCAGACGAAGTAATCAAGAAGAAAAATAAGACATTAGAAGATACTTAAAATGTAGATTAGATCCCAATATTGTAACGGAATATTCTAGAATAAAAAACGGTTATAAAAGCCTAGTATGACGGCCATTTTTTATCTTTTCTTTTTATTTAACAGGTAAACATTGTTTTTCAGTAATAAACCGTATGCTTGTATGAAAGAAATCATATTCTTTCATACCTTACGTACTCACATCGTAATGAAGTCCGAATGTTAACAACGCAGTCTGCCTCTTACAAAAATTCACACAAAGCGGTCCGCATTCATTTCAATTTCATAGCAATATAATTTTCATTCATTTGCATTTCATTCAGTTGGGCTGCCATTACCATCCAGACGGGTCGGTACTACAATTAAATATTCCAATTCTAAGGAAAGCTGCTCCAAAACATAGTTTAAAAGTATAAATACAACTTGTATATTATTGTATCAGAATTATTTCATTTAGTCTAGGATTCTTTTAAATAAATCCTTCTTGCTGCTAATATATTTTATAATCTGTGCTGTCATTATTACTGTAATATATATTATCTATATCTTTTGTCTACGTAGCGTCTTATATTTGCAATTCTAAGAGTTAATTTAGTCCCCGGAGTCGGTCAGCCTCAGAATCATTAACTTCTGTCAAACGAAGTTCACGGCTCGTTATCTCGAGCTCAGAAATGTCCAATTCCTGTTACGTAATATATTGGGGTAACAATAACGTGGATTGGACGTATAAAATTGTTTATATAGAAATACAAAGGGTAAATCTTTAAGAAAAAAATAAAATAGTAAGACTAATGTAGGTATAACGTAAAATATAAAATTCTACATCAGTGGTATAAATTATCAAAATAATAGAAATTAATTAATGAAAATAATATTTATTTCTGATTTATCTCAAGTTAGTTGTTAGTTAGTTAGTTCTATCACTCTCTCATTTTGTTGCTAAATATATAAACGTATTAAAAAACTAAAAATTGCTGCACTAATGAATATGAATACTTGCAAAAAAAAAATTCTTTGTTACTATTAGGAACATAGGTCTTAAATTTCTATTTATATAATGACAAATAAATTATTTAGATAAACTTGATAGAACCCTTGAGTATTACGCTAATTGAAAGCAATGAAAATTTGGTAGTAAAATAGTTGTTAATATTCAAGCAATGGATATTCTGCATTAATATGAGTGTATTATGAAAATGAATATTATGGAATTATTTATTTGGTCATAATACAGTTATGTACCAAAGAGTTCTCGACTGCGTTGGTCAGATGATAAGCGACGCGGACTGTTCCGTATAACTTTTATCATTCATATAAAATAGTTTTAACGGAACTCCATAGAAATAAACTTGGACTGAACAACCTTTTCATATAACTGTACCTTTCATACGATATCGTTATAAATGCTTATTTTGAATAACAATATAAGTATTAAAACAATAGTTACTAAAATGCGTAATATATTGGTAACGTCATGACTTATTTTTACTTTCTTAAAAGGAACATATGTACATATATGTCATGACATAGGTAAGTAGTGTTGTACTTACTGTCTTTCTGTAGAATTGTCTTCACCAATCCAATAATGATCCTTATCTAATTGTTTCTATAGAATCCATCTTATAATAAAAATATCAACAGAATTAAAGAATATGAAGTAATTGTATAAAACTACTAAAGCTGTTATTATTGATTATATAAAAAACAATTACTGAATGCAATCTACAGGAAAATTACTTTCCGTTGCCAAACAACATAAAATACAAAAAGCATCTCTATTTATATATACAAAAGAAACAAATTGGCTTGGTACGAGTCATTTGATTTTAATTAAGACTATTTTTCGTATGTTTGAAAACAAATTCTGTCGTATATACAGATTTCTAGTAAAGATATGTTGAGATGTCTTAATATCGAGCGGCATGTTGCACCAGTTAGAAGAGAATGCTTTAGTCTCAAGTATTTGTCAATAAGCGAACAAAATTCCATCTCAAGAGACAACGACAATGATGAGAGCCAGCAAGTCTCGGAGGCATTAATTAATTTGGAATCCAAAACTATGAGTAGGTTTGGATTTGTATTTAATTTTTAACTACTTTTATATATAGTATATGTAAAAAAAACAGAACAAAAACGTGATTAGATCTGAAATTTTAAAGGTTAGTGTAGACTAGATATAATAAAAATATAAAAAATGGTATATATGTCTCAAACAAAAAGCTTTTCAACATAATTTCAGCTATGTCTTCTTTAGAAATTGATACTTTAATTTAAGAACAAAATTTACACAATACGTACCTATCATAGCTTTTCACTGAAAATACTCTTATTTTGAAAGATATTGATCTAGAGTGTATTTGGATAGTTTGATTCAGTCTAAATGATATATGAAACGGGATATTGACTTTATCCAAAGAATATCAAACACGATTAGCCTACAATAAAACAATAATAACTATCATATATCTCAAGAAATATATATATTATATAGCTGAGTCGTGGGTACATAATATATGATTAATAATACACGTAGTATATACGCGGTCCATTAGCGGTTACATACTATTGTAATCTACAATTATTGATATTGCTTTAGATAATGCTTTATGCAATTAACGTGCTGGCTTTAATTCATCTTAACTCGAGCAGCAGAATTAATTTACGTTATTGATTTTATAACGAGCCAGTGCAAACACTAGCTTTGCTTTCACTATTTAATATATAGTCATTGTTATAAAAACTTGGTTAATTAATATGGAAAGATTTCGGGACAAAATAGGAATGAAAGATTTATAGCTGTCTGTTCTTCATGATGGTATCGGATTGGGTAAAAGGGTTTCGGGACTGGAGATCGGCGTGTTGATAAATATTTCCTTTGGTAAATGATGGAGAGGAAGGTTCTTGTGTAAGTAATACGTTGTTATATGGTATCAGAATTTAGAATTTACTAACAAATTTGAGCGATAATTTGGTCTCTAAAATTTAATTAAGTGGATATAACAAAAATGTATACACGAAATTTTTTATGAATGAATATAACAAGATTTAGGTCACGTTTATTAATGTTTTACGAAAATAAGCGATACAAGACCCTCGTCAGATTAGAAAAAATTTATATACGTAAACATGAATAAGAATTATGTAAAAAAAATCTTCAATATATAAACGCATCACCATATAATTATTTATGGAACAAATTTAATCAGTTTAAGCAAACTGTTATATATGTTTGATCAGTTTAAGCAACGGATTAAAATAAATCTTAACTTATATTGCCGTTCGAGTTTGATTTGCGGCCGGGCCATTCGTTATGTACATCGACTATGAGGAGCAGCTCTTATCTTGTAAATTATGTTCACTGTGACAGGGATTAGTGAAGGATACAATCAAAGCAGGATTAATGGCAGTTGTGTAACCTGGAAGTCAGGGGGTGGGAGGAGGAGGTTATAGCGGGAGGGGGGGGGGAACGGAGTAGTGCTACTATGAGATAAACACGCAAACATTCACCAATTAAGTTTAATTATTAAAATCTATTTGGAGTCAATTTTAAACAACAGGATGATGTAATCTTCATATATAAAAGAAAGTCGTGTTAGTTACACTATTTGTAACTCAAGAACGGATGGATTTTTGGCTGAAAAATGGTGGAGAAATAGCTTAGTACGATAATTTTCATCTGATAAGTTAATCAAATCAAAATCTTCTTTTGTACTGTCTTAAGGAGGAACAGAGTTCGCCCGATCAGCCATACATTTCTAATCCTGAAACTAATGCAGACGAAGTCGCGACAAAAACTAGTAAATAATATAAAAACGTAATATTCATTCACTTATCACTTAATATAGAACTAATTTTTTCTTATATGAATAAAATTCAGGCTATTCGGCTTCCACGGGAATGATAATTAAAGAGGGAATAAGGACTGTCCCGAAAAAATTCAAATGGGATCATTAAAAAGAATTCATGGTAAATAATGTCTTTGTTAAAAAATGTTATTTTCGTCTGTTCCGAGAACTTGTGTAAATTTAATAAAACGAGCTGTTGATAGAGTCCGAAATTAAAGGCCTTTGAAGGTGGTTTAATTAAAAAGTTCTTGTTTTAACGGAACGATTTCATTTTTATAAAGTATTATATATCCGATTTGTATCATTATATACTTAATTACATTAAGTTTCCTCTCTTACATTTTTTTGTATTTATTTCCTTCTTTTAATTGCAAAAATATACAATGGCTTTACATAAATAATAATGTCATATAAATTATAACATGAGGAACTAAATACATTGAATAAAATCTAGTTTTAATCACTTATACGTATATAAAGATTTGTGTAAATTACGTTTTTGAAATCAATTTATAAAATGCAATATTATTTGAGCAACGAATAATACCACCATAATTACAATTGCTTCCCAGCGCTAGAGGCTGTAAAGTTAACAAGATCGGTCGGCGTTGGCTCGGGTGGAAATATCTTCAGAAATGTATAGTTATTATAAACTCGAGGAATTGCATACTTGAACCGCAGTTCCCGTTAAGTGCAAAAAGACCATTAAGGCTGCTATTATATATTTTCTGAATATCTAAATTGTGAGTATTTAATTCTTTAAACCTAATGAACCTTTTCTTCAATTAGCATAGGTCAAAAATCTTTTTCATATAGCACGTGGGCCATAGCATGTCAATTACAGAAGTGAAAATAAAACATCAGTGCTAGCCGTCACTCAATCGGATTGCTTTTACGCCTTTAAAAATGTACGTTTGAACCCTTTTTGATCAATTATGCAGAAAATTTTTCCTACCTACATTTTTCGATCCCGCATTCCGATGGTTGATGAAGGTTGGGAGTTGCGATGTTAAAAATTTAAACGAATAAACTTTTCATAATGTAAATAGCGTATTAAATCAGTTGTTTAAATAAAATTATGTTCATTTCTATTTCATAATTTCATGATTTCTATTTTCAAACAACAAATGTCTAGTTTCTACTATGAGTTTAAATAAAGTCGTTCTTTATCCGTGATTTATTCGTCAGTCGCGCCACGATAAAGGCATTGCCAGGGATTGTGACCATTAATAGCATTATGTTGACTGTGAAAATTGTTTTATCACTGTCTGTTTCCTATCAATACGGGATAATTATTTACAAGAAATCATTATATAAATGATAGTAATATATTCGAATTACTGGGCATATTTTATTATTTTTAAAACTACATACTCCCGACGTTTCGGTTACTTTGCATCACATTATAAAATAAGGATAGTAATCCGAAAATATTAGTTTCATTTATATTAATATTCGTTAAAGTTTTAGATCTCATTATTATTATATACTTTGTAACTGTAGTCTAATACATTATTTTCTAAAAACGGTATGACTTAAAATTGTTTATGTTTAGACTATGTAGAAGGATTACAAAATAACATATAAAATAATGAAGCACATTAAAAACGTCACGTGTTTATTTAATAGGATAAGTTCAGTCATAATAAAAACACTTAAGGATCGCTTAAAACTGATAAAACACATTTATATACATCGTGTAACTGTTTCACAGAACATCTCGCCGTCTCCTCGCTTGGAAGTACCTGCAATGTCACAGCGATATATCAATTATAATGAAACATATACTCGACAATAATCAGTGTCATGCGGAGTGCGATTGCATCATTAATGCTGTAAGTTTTGGATCGTATCCTGTCAATAGTGTAAATGAACCAATTATATCCAATCTGTAAAATCAACAAGAAGTAATTGGATGCTTCAATATGAATACCCGTGACATGCTCTTCATGCACTACGCTGTCATCTGGTTAATAATCTTTAGTCTCAATACAAATGAGCATTTTTTTTAATGAAAATTTTAAAATACATAATATTTTTTTTTGTTGTCAAATATAATAAGATTTATTTATTGTTTGAGTTGTTTGTGTATGAGCTACAATTAAAGATATCTACAAAGCTTAGAAGCCATGCTCGGGGATAAGGGTTTGTTTCTACTTTCATCTAAACTAACTAAACTCACTATCGCCCTTCCGATCTTAGAACCGATGGCTTCAGGAAAGAGAAAAGTATCAATTTATATTCCATTAAAGCAAACATTTACATTATATCAATGTCAATGGTGACACAAAACTATATTTCGCCTAAGTCGAATGTTATTTGAACTCGTTCGCATCGAATCACCTTACACGTCTTGAATACAGAATGTGTTAACACTCTTGGATATGACACTACATGATATGCTATTCTAATATGATTAGAATTATGGATAACGTGCCATCGTGTCACTGTTTGGTAATAGCTTTTGTACCTGACTGTGGGTTGATGAGGGCGGGTCGGATCACGGGTGTCCCGTCCGTCCCGTCCGTCCCGTGTGTCCCGTGTGTCCCGTGTGTCACGAGTGTCACGAGTGTCTCGCGTATGGTCACGTCGTCTTGCACGCGGTCGTGGTTGAGATTCACGTGGGCGAGGCGCGCCGCCGTATGAACCGTCTTCAGTACTAGACTCGGCTGCGCCTACGCTGCCAGCCGGTAGCGTGTCTAGAGCACAAAGCTCATGTTTATATCTTTTTTCTTATTATTTATTAAACATTATTAACTATGTATATTACCTGAAAGCCTTGCTGCGGGTAGTCGGTACAATTCGGCGGCACACGCGGCACAGGGTGAGCCGCTAGACTCTGAATCACTATCTCGAACGCATCCATAATCTAAATAAATACATCAGATATTAATGTAAGTATAAAATTTAAAATAACAATATAAAATATATATGAGTACAGGTTTTTGGATACGAAATGAAATGAACATCTGTTATGTAATCTGGTATGTAATACGTACAACAATTAGCACTTCACGCAGCGGTTTAATAAAGGGAAGTTCGGGGCTCGAACCCGTTGACGGCCGGGTCCGGTAATTACCAGACAAAATAACCCGTAAACAGCCAGTATTAAACAAGAGAGGATAGCGGCCTGAAGATGTAATTGTTCGCTGGAGCGTTAACACGGACGAGGCGATTTAGCGGCGGAATGGCTCCGACCTCGATGTACGATGTACATGTCTCTAATGCACGTAAAGCGCTTTGCGTTATACCTAATATGGGTGTACAGTCTGTTATACAGATACTATAGACATAGACAATATCATTATGACAACAAATATGGGAGTAAATTAGATATAGTAACAAGAAAGATGATCTAAATTAATCTACAGAAAAAAAATCTTCTTTGAAACAACAAAAAATTGAATGAACTTTTCTAAACAAACATTACAGGCTGACGGAGGCTAAAGTAATAATTTAACATCCAGCAATAATTGAATCCTTGGTAATACAAGACGTTGTATCGCGAGTAGAGCTTCTAGCCTCCCAATATTGTTATTGGTGTGGAGGGAGGGAGGTGTAGTGGGAGGTTTGAAGGGGGGGGGTTCACAATGCGGGCACTCGGCGGAAATTGCGAACTCGCTCACTGGAACCAAAGATAATGCCTCCGGAATGAGCCACTATTATTTTATGGCGTTTTTCAATATCCGCTGCCTCCAGCCCCGTAAAAGGATCGACGGTTGTGTATTAGTGAAATTGATATAGCAGTTTTTTTAAATATAAAATTTGACTATTAAATATACATACAATGAAGTAATTAAAAATGTATCAAGTGAAGATCAAATATTAAAATAATATAAGGGATTATATTTTGTATACGAAATAAAACTCGGGGGAATGGTAATAAAGACTCGGCGTGGGATCCAATTCACAAATTATAAACATTAACCCTCAGGAATTTGCACTTCAATTCACAATGAAACAGTTATTAACATCTGCTTTGAAAATATTATCTTGCAACTTTTTTGGTATCTTCATATACTTTTACAGTAGCATTTTTTTACTTTTTCGAATATAAGCCTTAATTACATATAATAATGGAGTGTGTTTTTATTTAAGTACGTCAAAATATTGAACCGATTTTGATGTATTTTTACGAACTTACTATATATTTATATTAGAGTTCTATCAAGTTTGTATTGTGATAGAAGTTATTAATTTTTATTTCCATAAAATAAAATACGCAGCGAAGCAACGGGTAAAAACTAGTTTCTAAAACATATTTCCTACATTGCTTTTGAAACTTTTATTTTATTACAATATGCATACTTCACCTACGCTCCTAGAAACATATCTGTTCGCAATTTCTTTGGATTTGACGGCTTCTCACTGTTTTATACTAGCATGCTCCGTGTTTATTTAAATAAGAGTTGTAAAAGTAATGTGTTTGAGATACTTGAAAACCAATATTAAAAATATTTTTAAACAATTGCAGCTTGGTTACGTCAATGATAAAATGTTATTTTTTTATTATCCATACACGATAGTTGTATGCCTTTGTATTTGAAATGGAATCACTTGCATTTGCATATGTCCTTTGTATTTGAAATGGAATCACTTGCTTTTACATATATTCCTTGAGAATATACGATGGGAATATGGGAACGTAGAAAGCGCTTAGATCTGTTTTTTGCTTCCAAATTATTCACTAACGAGATCGATTGCCCTCAATTATTAAATAAATTTAATATACGTGTACCACTAAGGCCTCCTCGCTACAAAATAACTCCCCTATATCCACCACCTCGGAAAACTGTGTTCGGATCAAACTCCCCAGTTTCCAGACTTAGCAAGCTGGTCAATGATTACAGCGACGCGTTTGACATTCATGACGATTCAACTAAAAGAATTCGGTCCCTGTTATACACACTCCCCCTTTCACCTTAAATTGTATTTGTCCCGTCCTGTGAATCACTTTTAGTTTTTAGTTTTTAGTTTAATTTTCCATTCAGTATTTAATTTTTTATTTTATTTTGTAAGTTTACCTTTTAGTATTTTATTTCTTTTGTATATTTTTATTAAAACTTATTGGTTTTGTTTATACTGCGGCTCGCGGTGGGTTTGCATGATGTATCTACCTGTAATTGTTTGTCACACCTAGTTGTAAGTTATGTGTTTTGTGTATTTTAAGTATGTAATGATGTGTACAAACGTTGGTAGATCAAATTAATAAATAAATAAATAAATATGTGAAAATCGAAATAGTTTTTCATGAAAAAGTAACGCACCGCTTAATCAAACCAAACTGAACTGAAGCCTATATACTTTCGGGCAATAAGCTGTAATACACATCGTGTTCTGAATAAAATAACATTCAAATAATTTGAAAGCAGTCTAAAGACCGACGTCTGGTTCGCGTCGTTGCAGATACAAAATTGCAGTTGCAGTAAAGCGCTTTCCTTTCGCAATACTTTGCAATCTGAACACGTTCTCCGTGAAAGCACTTTCGTACAATGACTTATAAGGTAATATATATAATAAAATGGGATTTTAGTTCTCTCTGTCTATCAAGATTTTTATTATAACAGATGTGAATTGAAGTTAGTGAGGTGTTATATAGAAGTAACGTTTCAATATTATATATTCGTTTTATTGCGTTTGGGAGTTTGGATGTTAATTTTATTTTGTAAACTATTTCATCATCTTCTTTATAATGACAAATAAAAGAAGAAAATCGATTCTTATTTTTTACCATATGTTTTTTTTTTGAAAGAACTTCTACATTTACGTATATTGTAGTATCCTTTGACGAGTTACATGATTATGTTGCGTTAAATTAAAACCAAATTGTATTTGATTATTTATATATACTAGTCATTTTTTTACGGATATAACTTGACTTATTACTGTTGTACTAAAAGATTCTGCATTTTTCATGTGTCAATAATAATTAAAATCAAAATGACATCACACAAATTGAACAATAAATCAAAATAAAACAACATCAAATATTTTAAACTTTAACATTTTACATGCATGCTGAATAATTGAAATAATTTTCGAATAATGGAATAATTAATTCCTATAGTATTTGTTTGAAATGTATTTGTAGCGTCAAAATAATTGCTCTACACTCAATGTAAGTATAAACAGCAATAATATGATTAAATTTTTTCGTTGTTTATTTTTTGGTATTCAAATACAACTGCGATAATTTGTATATGTTTGCTGTTATATATAAAAAATACAAATGGACTAAGCTACTTTGATTTGAATGAATAAACAATGTGTGTGTATATTTGTACGTATACCTGGATTATATGGCACTCAAATTAGAAGATAATATCGTATTAAATAGTCATTAGATATAATTAAGTATGTAAAGGTAGGTGTATATAGTCTTACCATTGGGATGAGCCAGTAAATGTGGTCGCGGTGGTGGGGCCGCCAGCTCGAGAGGATCCCGAGCGAATGATCTAAGGTGGAGTGCACACGAGCGAGCCCCATCACCACCAGATGACATGCTGAACGTCGCGTACGGACTGATCTCGTGCATGTTGCCTAAGAAAGATTTTATACTGTAGAATTTATATAAAGATAAACGTTCGCATCTTGAAAATAGGCTTGAAATGACTTGTAAAGAGAGGCTATAAAATTGTCTGCAGGTGGAAAGCTTCTTGATAATTAGATTGGATATGAATTATTGGTTGGTTTGTTAGAACAGGATTTCTCGTAAAATATGCATGTTTCGTAATTGCATTTTCCTTTACCGATCAGAATTACGTTTAAGTTTTTATTATACATACATGTATTTTGCCAACTTTGCAACAAACTAGAGAACAGTCGTAAAAATTTTAGTTTTGTTAATGACACTTGAAATGTTATTCCAGTTAATTTTATTGTTAAATTGTGACGTTTTAAGAAAAATTTGCAATTTTTTGCAATTAACGTGAACGGCATTTAAAAATATTGAGTTTCACAAGTGTTTTTATCGTTTTGACCATTAAGCTTACCGTCAGGAGGCGTTATTGTTTTTCCATTCGTTTGAGTTGGTTGAGCTACATATAACGGTTGAGTATGAGCATCGTGTAAAGGATTTGTAGATGGATTGGAACGGCGTCGGCACGCGAGAAGTGTGGCCGTGGCTATCAACGCCAGCAAAGTAACGCCTAGTAACACTGCGGCCGCTCCAATGGCATTTCTCCACCAAGCTGTCCCTGACGAGCTGCCCATACTACCTCCCGCGTCTGATGCACTCATACGAGCTTCTAAAGGTAACTCTATCGGTTCACCGATACGTTCTAAAAGAGAACTTTACAATTTAAAATGGCTTTTAAACAATACACAAAACTTAACTGGTATTTATATATATTTATTTAAATGCTTGTTAATTTATTCACCTCCATTCATTGTATGTGTTGCAGCCTTATAAAGTGCTGGTGTGTCTCCCGCTGGTGAGTGTGATAAGACTCGAATTTCATACCAAGTTCCCGGCTCCAAATTATTCGCCTGTATAGAAAAAATATTGTAAAAAATATTATTTGGACCGATATCATTTGAATTTATTATAAAATGTATTTACTTCGGCAACTTCTCCATCTGATAACAGATCAATCCAAGCATCTCCTACGCCGGCTCTTCTCAAGGCCAGACTGAAGCGGGCCACAGCACAGCGTCCTCCCCATGCAAGAAGTGCCACACGTAGCGCCGTGCTGTTCGCCCATATACACTCCTTGCCAGTCGGAGCCCTCGCCTCTACACATACATACGATCTACATCTCTATCACTGAATACGTCGGGACGTATTTCGTCTCTTTGAGAGTTGATAAAATAAGGAAAAGTAAATCTGTCTAATTAGTTGAACGAAATGATGTTTCTTTTTATATATAAATCAAAACTCTAAGCTTTATCACGATTATTACAAAAAGAATATGCGGGACTAGATTAGGTATGGAGTATTGTCTAACTTTCTCCTCTTGTATGTAGAATGACAGGCCTGGAGTGTGCAGAAGCACCGACCGCGTTGTGTGCTCTCATGGCGACATAGTATGGAGCGCCGCACGCGAGCCCACGAAGCGCCGCACCTCGCACCTCCCCACCCACACGCCACCATCGAGCGTTTGCGTCTATTTCACTAATTGGAATAATTTCTCCTTTTCCTCCTCCGATATCCCAGCCACGCCACCACCACATAGTGTAACCTATCATAGAAAATCACCTAGGTGAGTGGTATACATGTAGTATAGTTTTATGAGATAATTAAAACCATTGCGTAGTATACCCAAGATGGAAGCACCGCCATCAAAAGGTGGATCCCATGCAAGATGTAAGGCGTGAGTGTCGGCGCGGGCAAGACGCGGTACAGGCGCAGCGGGAGGTCGGAGTACACGCAACGCAAATACCGCCGCGTCACCGCCCGCAGAGTTACGAACCGAACACGAATAGTTCAAGGCCGAGTGGTGCTCGACTTCTGCATATCAAATGTGTAACTTTAATACATGATCATAGTTATGGAAAATATTTATCATTTAAAAACTTACTGTGTATAATCAAATCTCCAGTATCAGTGATAGTGTGTGCATGAGGTAGAGGTGTCCATCGACGCGAAATTGGTGGTACTCCTAATGCTGAACAACGTAACCGGACCCGCGCGCCTACTGCTGCCGTTACTAAGCGACCCAATGATGAGATTCTTGCTGATACTGTTAAATCGCATAGTAAATTCGTTTGATGTCCTTACAGATGATATTAAAATTTATGTTCTTAAAGTACTATAACTTACATAATTGTGAGGGTGCCGCGGTTACAGCTCGACTGGCCGGTCCAGCCCCAGCAGTAGTGGAAGCGCGTACCCAGAATTCATAAACCGCACGTTCACGCAAGCCACGTACTTCATGCCATACTTCCCCACCCTCCTCAATATTCCCTTCACTTTGTTCATTTGCTTCTACACGCTGCGACCACTCTCCTCCAACTCTTTTAAGAAAATTTCGTTGTATTTTTATAGTAACAAATTAAAAAATCCTATAAATTCAATGTCATACATGGTCCGTACTTGCCAAGTTCCCTCGTATATAGCATGTAGTGCGAAAGTAAGCCTCCTCGTTCGGTCGGTGCTATCCAAGATACGCGTACTGCATCAGGCCCCGCTGCTAAAGCTCGGATTAGTTCCGGTGCGCCGGGTACTGATAAAATGTCTTTTTAATTGAATTGATCCTACGTCACATTGAATTCATATTACGAGTTGAATACAAATAGCTTAAGAAGTAAAATTACTTCAATAAATTTTGTTTTCTTAAAGGTAGTTTTTGGAAGTAAGTTATTTTTAAAAACGTTATGATTATGAAGGATTATATTTTTAAATATTTTCACATCACAATAGTGAAACTGACAATTTATGAATATATATATATATTTAAGTATTTTGAAAAAAAATACAAATAAAGATATATCTACATAGAGATACAAATATTATTTGGAAACCTTTTAAAATTATATTATTCTTTTTGATTTAATTGATGGTATAAGCAGACGTAAACATTCTCATACTAAACCTCTAGGTACAAAATATGTATGTAAAGTCTTACCATCATCAGTAGTTCGGCAATATGCTGGTTGGGAAGGTGGACCCGCGCCCCTGTCAGATCTAGCTCGCACTGACACAGAATAATTGGTGGCTGCCCTCAAACCCTGAAGTACTGCCTCTCCTGCAGCAGCAGCTCTAGCTACCTCAGAGCCTATCGCACCACTCCACGCTATACGAATAAATAAACTCAACATATTGGGCCTATTTTGAAGTTGGTACCATTAGTTTGCCGTTTGGTTCTCTTACTTACATTGGGAAAAATGTAAAGGTGCATAATGAAGATCATAACCCTGTATGGTTTGGGTGTGCGAATGTGGTGGAGATGACCATCGAACACGTAACGACCTCGCTGATATAGCCTCACAGGATACTGAATTTGGTGGTTCTTCCGGAACTAAATTAAAAGGCAGTTTAGTTAAATAGCCTGTGTTTATTATTTTTTATCCAGTAAGTAGTACTTTTCTAATAAAATGTTTCTAAACCAAATTAACTTCCTCACATAAAAGTCATATTCAACTTACCACCATCGGCAGTTGTGGCATAGGCAGTAGTCGATGGAGGCCCAGGTCCTGCCCTGTTGAATGCTCGAGCCGAGAGCGCATATCTTGCGAACTGTCTAAGTCCTCCTACCGTCAGTTCCACTGTGCTCCATCCACGAGCCACAGTGGTACCAGCCCGTCTTCCATCATCTCGTCCATCCTCACTACTTCCACCCTCCACACGACCTACCTCCCGCCATGTAATTGCATAACCTAATAGTTCGCCGTTCCAGGAATCTTGAGCTGGAGCCTAAGATTATATACATTTTGTTAAGTTTGCTTTAAACGTAACGTATGAGATAAGTCTTATATGGTATGAATAATAACAATACGTACCGTCCACGACACATGTAATTCTCCAGTATTAATCGGTCTCACTCTAATATTTTGTGGTGGTCCTAACGGTGCTAGAAAGTAATTTTAGTTATGTTAATATTATAAAAGTTAATAACCTGTCTGAGTAAAGCGAAAAAATCTAAATACCTTCTTCAAGAGTAGTAAATAGAAGTGCATCTGAATGAGGCGATTGTCCAACATGATTAGTTGCCACCACCCGTAATGAATAAGCGGCTGCTGGTCTTAAACCTTCTAATTTTGCACTTAGTAGATGAAAACCATCAGCGGCAACCCTGATATTAAAGGCAAATTAAATATATAAATTCACCAACAAGCATCAAACTAAGGCATAAATTTTCCATACCCATTATTATCTGTTGCTTCTAGCGTAAGGTTATAATGATGTGTGGAATGGTCAGAAGAGGGTAGAGAGTTTAGCGTTGGTAATGAGTGCAAAGGGGTGCATATCGCGGCAAAGTGTGTTCGAGGCGATGGTACTGCGAGCCATCGAACCCGCACCCATCGTGACCCCGCACCCCACAGCTGAATCGAACGTGGGGCTTCTGGTGGCTCTGTGCATAAATGTGTAGGTGTGTTACTTCAAGAAAGGCTTGGTAAAGAAAGTTCAAGAATATTACCAAGGATGAACAAAAATATTTTTTATTCGTAGGTTCTCTCTGGTTAATAAAATATGAAAATTCTTTAGGATTATTTTTTCGTAATTAGGTAATTAATGTAATTTTAGTGTGTGTTATTTTATTTTAACGGAAAACTAAATATAAGAGTCAAATCAATTCCAATTCGTACTTTTGAATAACAAGTGAGGACTCCGGCTAATTACAATGCAGACGAATATGACCAATTAAAGCTTTCAGAAGCATAAGCAAAAGTACATAATGTGAATTACATAAAAATGTCCAAATCAAACCTTCTACTTGCAGGAACATTAGTATATCAGCACGTCCATATTGGTTGCGCGCGTGACACCTATACTCGCCAGCATCACGACGCTCCGCCGCACGTAATTGGAGAGAAGACCGCACTCCCTCACTTGTACGTACCTCTGATATCGTCCATCTAATTATTATATAATTAATTTAAACTATATTTGTTATTTCCATTGATAAGTTAAACTAGTGAACAGTAAAATAAGTCTTATTTCATATGAACTGACCATTACTATTATTTTTAAGGTCCCATAGGTTATATTTGTATATCTATCAAATTAAACATGCCTTATTGATTTTTCGTTTTTTTTGTCATGATGATTGTCAACGATTGCGAAGTGAGGATGGTTGAGATAAAAACAGAAAATCCAAAGTAAACTAAGCCTAGTATTATTTCTTTTAAACCACTATGTTACGTTATTATACAATTTAAAATTAATATCATAAATGTATTTATTATGAACATATATCACGACCTATACGAATCAAGGTCCAATTTATTGCCGCGATGTGTCCAATGTATTGTGAGCGGTGCGTCACCAAGCGCGAGACAGCTAAGAGTGACGCCACGACCGCGAACACTCGACACGTTACGGAGCGAATCACTCGGAGAACTGAAGTGGGCTGGTTCTGTTATTCAGAGTACATGCTTTAAAATATACACAGAAAATTGTTTAATATAGCGCTATAGTAATTTTGTATTATCTATTTATTTCTTACCGTGTACTGTCACATTGACATGTTTAACTAACGGTGGTCCAACACCGTTATCAGCGATGCATCTGTATAAGCCTTGATGTGATCGTGCTGCTGATCGCGCAGTCAATGAACTGCTTCCTTTGCCTCCATGGCCACTAGTATCAACGGCGCTGGTTAAGTCATCAGAGTTCCTTAATGCACTACTTTCAGCATTCCACTCTGAACCGGCGGCTTCCCAGCGTTCAGAGTTTTCAATACCACTTATTCCTTCCCCTAATAATCATCTAAATTATATAAATACTAACAATTACAAGACAAGTATATTGTATTAAAGAACCTACCGATTCTTCTATACCATGTGACAGTGGGAGTCGGATGTCCTTTCGCAGTGCATTCTAGTAGTAGGGGTGCACCCAAGAGAACCGCTGAGTCTAATGGTTCTGTTACCCAAATAGGTGCAACTAGGGAAACATTAAAATATATTATCGGGTTAGGCATATTGGGCATGAAATACTTATAAATCAGTACATGAATAAAGATACTCTTTTATACCTTTTACACTGAGCGTAGCGGTGTAATTGACTGTTGCTGCGTGGTTGGAAACGCGACAAGTATAAGATCCGCTGTGACGCGCCGAAAGTTCCGGGAACATTAGCAAGGAAAAGTCATTGAGACTTTTTTCTTCTATCTAATAAAACAAATCATGTAGTTAATCTTTGCTCTTATTACTTTGGTATTATAAGAGGATAATAATTGAGACTATTTATTTACCTGTAAAGTGGGGAGGAGAGGAGAACCGTCTTTCAACCAAGAGAAATAAACAGGTTTATCACCAGAAGAAACCCCGCAAAGTACTTGAACCGAACTACCTTCTGTTAGTTCTGATGAAAACATGAATGGTGATATTTTTGGCGGATCTGTTAACAGTGACAAAGGTATAATAGACATTTTAACCAACTGGTGTTACAATTTGAAAAAGTATTTAAAGTCAGTTTTATCACTAACTTCTAACTTGTATTTCAACATCTCGTGTTCGCAGCTGGTCCAGATGGGGCAGTGACACTGCAAGCATAATGGCCTGCATCGTGAGGTAAAGCAGGCGTCAGTCGAAGAGAGGCATCTCGAGAACTAACTCGCCCGGAGCTGCCTAATGCTGCTGCCGCTCCACGTCGCCACCACGACACTGAACTGATGATGCATGCTTATTAAGACGCCCGGATCACGAACTATTTGAATCAATACCTTTTTCCTAATACTTTCCATTTTTTTGTTATAAAATAATAATGAAGATGATATATCTACTATTTTATATGTATTCTTTATAAAATGTTCAAGTAAAGGGCAAAGTAATAGCTGATATCCAATTTTTCTGCTAGAGTAGAACATGCAATTTATAAGTTGCATACATGGCAGTACGTGATTGTAATAGGAATGATCCTATCAAATGCACCTCTATAGACCTGATCGGATATCCGGCGTAGGGGCAGTGCAGTGTGAGGTTCTCCCCGGCCACTGCTCGTATTGTGCTTATCGGACGGATTGATGGCGGCCCTATAACGATTTTATTTTATTCACTCATCATTGAACGACAAAATTACGTGACGTACCAGCGAATGCTTTTAACTACATTGTTCGACGAGAGGAAGACGGTATTCGAAAAGCCTGTAATGTTTTGGTGAAAAACTAAATATATGTAAAAGATTTGTTTGAAATGATTTTTATGTGAAAAGGGTATGTATTTTTGAATTTAAAATGATGTATAACATAAAGGATTTAGTTTGAAATGATTTTACAATACCTGCTATTAGGTTTTTTATAGATAGAAAATTTAGAATGTATTTCTGAATTTAGAATGTTATTTTTTTCAAAACTTTTATTATATATATAACTTACCATATATATTTAATCTGGCTGAATGTTCGACAGCACCGAGCGGATTAGAAGCACGACATGAGTAACGCCCGCCGTCCGCAGCCGTCGCTGATGTAACGTTTAAAACTGACACGACCTCTCCTTGCACGGAGGCTTCTTCACTAATCGAGTATCTATTAAATAAACTCTTTTTATATATATAATTTCGTTGTTTGCGACATGGGAAAAAAATGTTTTATATAGCTATAATAATTAGGGATTATATACGTGTTTTTGGGTTTGTTTTTGGATTATTACAGTCAAACACATTAAGTGTTTTGTTTATGAAATATGGTTGGAACGAAAAATACCCTTAAAAGCCTAAATAAGGGAGAAAATTGATTATTTGTAATCTATCAACTTCCTTTCGGGCTGGGTGGTGGATTAAGATCCGAACAAAGAAACGACAAGCTTTGGTAAATCGAACCCCGTAATTTTATAAACAAGATTTCACTTAAAAAGTTTTGCGATGATAATTAATGTTTACCAAGAATAAGACACTCGTTAATTTATAGGCGTTTTGGTAAAAATAATAAAGAATATTTAATGAATACTTAAATTACTTCCAATGTATGATAGTAAAAGTTACCTGTGATGAGCAATAAAGTGATCAAGGGGATGATCATCTAGTAGCCAGGAGATTCTTGGTGGAGGTGAAGCAGCAGCTATACATCTTAATGTAACGCTACTACCAGCACGTAAAGCTTGCTCGATGAAAGTGTATTGCAACTCTGGAGGCGAGTCTGTAGGAAATAATCTCCGGTCGACAAAAATATCATAGGAAATCAATGAAAAAAAACGAATATTTTTGGTATTTATGCTAATTTGATTTTGAATTATAATCTTGAGTACTGTGTGGAGAAAACATAAAGGTATTTTTATAATTACAAACATATGTAGTATGTCGAATATTAGACAATGACCTTTTTTATTTATTCTGTCACCAGTTTCCTTAATGTTGAAAATGTTTGTTGAAATTATATTAATTAAGAGAGCTTTTGTTTTTTACATTAATATTTGAAAATTATCTTAAACATAATAATATATAAATTTAGAACCGTTAAATGTTGCATAGCGGGTCATTTATGGATAGCACAAACTGCTTTGTTCCATTTCCAACGTTAAATCAAACAATACACAATGAAAACATAGTTAATCAAACAATGTGATTGTGTGAAACGCATTGTGATTGTATACAAGAATTTATTAATTGAATTTATCTACAATAGATTTTTTTATTGGATTGGAGTTTCAATTATTATGTTTTATTCGCATTTCATAATGCAAAATATTGTATGATTTCAAAATATACAATAAAAATCTTTTAAAATCTATGGAGTAATCGTGGATAACGAGAGTTCAATATGTGGAATATTGTATTGAATTTTTTATAGCTATAGAATTGACATACAATAAACTTTTTGATTCAGCAAAACAATTAAAATTAAAGTTATAGATTCATATTTATTACAGTTTTAAAAATATATTAAACATTATTAGACTACAAAGAAATATTAGAATACAGGATTATGAAACTGAATTTCACAGTTCAAAAGAGTAGGTTACGGTCGGTAGACAATGATGTAAAATATATTTTTTAAGTTTTATACGTATAGTTAAACAAATCATTAGGTATTGTTATTCTATACTCTCAATATTTAAAAATGATCAGTATTTGAGATAAACTATAATAAGAATTTCGAAAGGATTACATATTTTAAGAAAATTGGTTGAAACTTCAAAGTAATGTTTCATTTGCAATGATAATGATCGCTGTCTATAGACTATTTAAATGTGGATCTGTTTCAAAGCGTTAACAAATAGAATTAATAAGTAATCACCGAAAAATTCAAATCACGAAATGTTTAATTCAATATAGGATTTGAATGACAAATAGGTCTTTTGTCAAATTAATTCCATTAATACGGTGTGAGCGTTTAATCGTTCAATACATCGCGATAAGCGTTCCGCGCTGATTGATTCTGTGAAGCTTGGACACTTCATTGCGATTGATATCATCACTTCACCCCCCTTCCTCAACCCTCCATCATATATCAGAGTAACGTGCGATTAAATTTACTTTTTTGGTGACTATCGATCATGTGATTTTTGTTACTAGATGAATTTTGAATGAACTAAAATCGTATTACCATAGTTTATTTTGAAATATTATTAAATAAAAATTGTACATAATATACTGAAAACTATTTCAATTAGAAATGCTTTTTTTTATGTCGTTAGCCGTGTTTACTATTTTAAGTATATAAAACTAAGGATAATTGAAAAACATTGCAAAAAGCACGTGTCTATGAAGCTGTGTGAAGTCAACAGAAGTTATTCGCAGCGCTAATAATCAGTGCAACGGGAGCCTGGAACAGCTTTAACTTCATCCATCACTGTGACAGTTCATTACGCTGCCTCGAGCAGCGGACAACTAGCGACTTGAAAATACTTAAGGCACATAATTATGTTAGAGATTCAAGATTACTTCCAACGTGCTTCTAGTTACTAAAATGACGTGACTGAGAGTTATAACGAAAGCTAAGTGTAATGAAATTAATTAAAAATACAGCAACAAAATGTATTACTATGAAATAAAATATTTAAATTGTATTAATCTCGAATATATCAAAAGAATATAAACAAAAAGTACGATGCTCGCAGTTTAATGTAGAGGATTTCGATTCACACACTCCAGTGAGTTTATCGAATTGCCAGGCGTTCCTGAATGTTGCATGCAATTCCAAAGGTTTGGCAGGGTGGGCGTGAGAGAAGTGTTATAAATCTCGTGAGCGTTGGAGTTCCAGCGCTATTTGTTAGCCGCCGGTCGACGCGACGCGGCCGCTGTGCTGAGACATTACTTATACTCAGCTAACTAATGGACAACTGGACACTTACATCTAAGTAAACAATACATTTATCGCTACTCCTATAAGCGAAATATATTTTGAGCACTTTGTTTTGCTGAGAGTAACATTTGTCCAAAAGTTTTTACCATTTGTCATAGATAAGATTTATTGTAATTGCTTTTTAGATTTCGTGTAATGTTGGTATAATAGAAATATAAGTTCGGAGCTCTTGATATATATTTCCGTCCCTGTGGTCCATTAAAAGTTTCTGAAATTGAAGTGATTTCATATTGTAAACAACGTTTCTAACAAAATTAGTTTTATTTTGATAAAATATATTATGGAGGTGTTTTGTTGTATTCGTTTTATTCGAACAGAAGCGTTCTAAATTGAAGGGTTAAGATGAGCAACATTTTTATTTGAGATTTGGAACGAGCACAAAACTCCGACTTTAATAAAATAAATCTCAATTTTTCCAAAAGAGAAACTCACTTACAAATTTCCTCCTCCATTTGGAGCCTGAAAGGGTCGGATTCGGGTCCATTAATTGGGGTCACGAGTGATTGACGCACGCACGTAATTAGTTTTGGGGCACTGCGGCAAGTTAATCATGATTATACCGATCAAAGATAATCTGATCACGCTTCGTGTGATCCTTATTCAGCCTGTATTGATATCCCAGCAGATTCACATCATGATATTGGCATAAAGGCAAATTTTCGAGGGACTTTGAAGCTAATGTGTATTAGGTGAAACGCTTGGTTTGACTAATCAACCTATTTTGTTGGGAGTAACGTTGGTAAGTCAGAATAACTTAACCTAACATTTTTTTTTATTAATTTGGTTTTCCTTATTAGGTGAGAGATGTGTGTACAACAAAGTAAAACTTAATTTATTTCATCATATTATTTTGTTAGTTCTTATAACCATTGAAGTAAATGTATGTTCTATTTAAGATACTTATTAGAAAATCGGGTGATGTATGCCTAAATAAGAGATTTCATTTGAATATTTATATTTGTTTATTTACCTCCAAGTCGTATCTCAGCAGCTGCTTGTTCAGTTCGACTGCCGCGTCTCGCGAGGCATTGATATAAGCCGGCGTGAGCTCTCGCAAGTCCCCGCAGTATCAAGGATTCACCGCCCGTAGAGACTACAGCTCCATTGTGAGCCCAGCGCAGAGTAGCTGATGGGTCGGTGGCAGTACAGTTGAGGCGAACTGTGCTACCGGCTTCTGCTACCTTCATTCAAGAAATTAGATCATCATATACTTATATCAATGTATTCTTACTATGCATATATTTTAAATTTTTCTTTACTTCTGTGCACGTCCTACTCACTACTCTCCTACATCATTCTGGGTTGGCTGGTAGATAATGCTGACATAGCGTTAAGTCCGCCCTTTGTACATATTTTTTTTTTGTGTGCAATAAAGAATAATAAAAAAATAAAAAAAATGTCCTTGACATTTTTACTATAGGTAGACTGTTTGGTTCATAATTGTTATAAGTGGTGTAGAACTACAATTTAAAAATGAGATTAAGGGCTTTTACGAGTATTCAATTAAATGAAACTTGTTTTATTATTGTAAGAACTACATATTCCTTACGTTTTTTAAACTGTGATCATGGGCAGAAGAGATGTGAATTCACATTAACATTCACATTCAATAATTATCTGAAAACTATTAGTTTAATTTAAAGTTAGTCTAATTATAATCTGAAAACTATTAGTTTAATTTACAATTTAAAAAGCTTTCTTTTTCTTACTACAACGCTCGGGTCCACGCTGACACTAAAGGTATCTTCAACTTCTATTCTCATTTGGGCAGTAGCGTCTCCGAACACGTTGTAAGCCTTGCAGAGCCATGCGCCATTCGCGTCGCGGGAGACCCTCGTAAAACACAGCGCTGCTCCGCCGGCCCATAGCCATACAGATGGATTCGGTTCTACTGGTTGAAGGCGCCCGTTTCTTTCTCGGTACCAACTGTTTAAAATTCGACATCATATTAATAGAATTTAATGAACCTCTACTCATAATATCCAGCTATCACAGTACACGCAAATAAATTAATTTCAATTCAGATACGTTGAAATATTTTATTTTATGAGTATGCTTAACAAATCAACTAGTCCGTGTTCATTTTAATTACCAAAATGGAATAATTAAGCTACAATCATGAGTCTACCACTAGCATACCGTCCCTACTTGAAAAGTTGTATCAAGAGCTGTTAATTCTCACGTGTATTGCGGCGGTGGGTAGTCGGAGGCGACGCAGGGCATACAGAAAGTGGCGCCGGCGGGCACGGTGACATCAGTCTCCGTCGCAACAAGACGAGGCGGTGAATTCGAAGAGCCCGCTGTGGAGGACGCTTGTATTGTAAAGCATGGGGTGCGTGAGTTCTTAATTAAAGCGTTCCACAACCCACACGTCCATTTCAACGTGTGATTTCTTTTTTTTTTATAGTTAGTGAACTTAATTGGATTAAATTCTTGTTTTGTATTGAATGTACCTACTGCTCGTTTTGAGAGTGGTTAAATAAACTACAGATGAAGATTAGTACATATTTTTTTTAAATATAAATGTCATGATTCATAAGATTCAACGTCTATACTGAACTTTGATCGATACGATATTTTAACCAAAACATTAAAATTACCGTGAAACCTAAATACTAACTGAGCACATTTAGATGGGCGGGTCGTGAGCGCTTTGTGAGCGCAGTGAGCGCGTGTCGTGCGAGGCAGCTGTAGGAACCTGCGTCCGTGGGCGTTGCATCGCGGATCAAAAGCGCTGATCCCGCCAACAAATATCGTGCATCTAATATACATATATTAAAAAAATTATCACCTTATGTCGTATAATTTTTATTACAATAGTTATTATATATAGTTTATATATGTTATGTTGAAATGAATCAATTATTATAGAGACACCTTAAAAACATCATTATTAACAATGAATCGTAGCTAAAAGTTTTAATAATGTTTTACTTTGAGGGTTAGAAGGTTTTTCTCATCTGAATAGACCAGTTAAGCTCTCTTCATAAAGTCTTGTAAACTGATATTGTTCGTATTGGAAATTGTCTCTCTAATATTGCTATTGAGATTTCAAAATAAAAAACAAACATAATGGCTGTCGTATTCGCTAATTCCTTTGTCCAATTTTATAAGAACGAAAAGTGTAAATAGACATTATTGACTGTCTCTACAGTGAGTATATTATACGAAGAATGATGCAAATTTATTACGATTATTTAATATTATATCTTTCACCAAATAAAAAGATTAGTATCTTACTAGTGTAACTAAGAAATGATATAAAATAAGTAAGCCTCCGTTTAACATATTTATAGCACATTAATATTGAAAACGGATTATAAACATAAATTTACTGTTTGTAACGAAACAACTAAGATTAAATTATCCAATATTAAGGTGGTGAGGGAAACCGTCTCGGGCGAGATTATAAGAAGTCTTATCCAACCATTCATCAGAGTCGTGTCGCCGATGAGAAATTGCTTTAATTAATATTACTTCGCCCCTATTATAAATATGCTGTCTAGAAAATCTCTTCCCGTTTTTAATTAGTGTTTCCATGTATTCATGGTTACATGATACTGCGTCGTAAATTCAATGAAATATAATTTCTATACTAGTTCTGTTCCATAATAACGTTGTGCATTAATTATTGCTAAAGTTTCGTTTCAATTTCACGGGTAATACAAACGATATTGTATTCTGTACTTTGTAAATATATGAAAAAATATGTACGTTAATATAAAAAGTGTTGTTTGAACTCTTTAATATACAAAATGAGTGATTGTATTTTCTTCATTACTTCTTTAACCTTTATATTTTTTATTCTACCAGGTAAAATAACAATATATTTCACTCGTATTAATTAAAACTCACAAGATACGGCGACCGCAGAGGTCAGCTAACATTAGTCCACTACGATGGATTTATAGCAACCGGCTCGAGACTCGACAATTTATGTTCAGCAGTAATTTACAAGCGTTATTAAAAGAAATGTCCTAACTTATCGCTGTCCACCGAATGGGGACCTCACTCAATTATCTTTTACTAATAAGACATTTATGATCGAGCCTCTCATTACAAAAGGTTCATTATGTAATGATAATGTTCCATGATGTGAATAAATTATTAAAGTTATGTATTTTATTTCTTCACATAAACTTAGCTCTGTAATAAATTATAAAATTTTCTTGTTCTTTAATAAATAATTGTAGTACGTGTAATACTCATCTATGTATATTAGTATCACTCATAGTTACCTTTTACTCCGTATTAACCTTTTACTCAGTATATGTGTATAATAGTCTTATTTTATTAAGCATATATCTTTTTAGTATATTGATAAACAGCAATACTCTTTCTTTTAAGTACTTATATCGAAAAACCAACATGACAAATTTTAAAGTAGTTGTAATAAACAGTAATTAATAATTTAAGCAAAATCTCCATAAACAATAAACAAATAGTATAACAGGAAAGGAAGTTCAAACATTCATGAAATGAAATACACATCTAAATAAGCAAATTATATAACTTTTTAATAAAAAGAAAAATTTATATAAAAGCTGCACAATATTCACGAATTGTTAATAAAATCTATGTCAGTAACTTTATTATTATGAGGCAGCAAGGTTATTTGTTAAATTCTATTGCAAACAGATTTATGTAGTTATGAAATGGCTTTCACAAATTTTTCCTGTATGGTTACAAACTAAGTAAGCATTTGTACACTCCTTTGTATCTGTTACATACTTTATAAGGACGTTGAAAAGAATGGTTGGAGTCCGATACATTTTAAAATTGATCACTATTAGTATTGTTAATCAAAGTATTTATTTTTATAAAAACTAACATGTATTTCTTTCTCAAATTCTTTCCTTTTTCTTAATTTTTAATTTTTTCATTTCTTATTTCTTTCAGGTAGTAAAGAAGAAGAATAAAGAAGTAAATGGATATTGTTACTGTTTAAATACTTTGACAGTATACTTTATGAAGTACTTTTACACATTTTTTTCTATTTTATCAATTATTATTTCTACGACTATGTAATCTAAAGGTATTTTTTAACAATTTAGGAACATTAATGTTCCCTGTACTGTTTGTTATATTAGTGTAAGGCGTTGCTATGTATAAAATTCCTATTGTCTTCACCAATCCAATGTAATTCGTGGTGATTTTGTTTTACTGGCTTGTTTGTTGAAGCTAATAAAGTGGGATAACGTTTTATTTTTCTGGCTTGGGGTTGCAAATTTCATTACTACAGATAGAGCACTTTTGCTTTGTTGTCATTATTTTGTATTAGACCCATGCGTTAGAGAATATCGCCCGCTATGGAATTCTATTCATGTTTTGTAATTTTTATTATATCATTAAGATTCTCATTTGGATAGACTGAAATCATAGAGAATGTGTAATTATTATTCTTCTTAATGTATAAAAAATGCTATTTAATAAAATTAATTGTATATGGTGAGTGGTTTTTTTCTACGTGATTAAATTAAATATCTTAATGTATTTCTAACGTTTTCTTTTCTATAATATTTACAAAAGCAACCACAGAGAATTTCATATTCCGTAACAAGAATAGCTAGTTTATAGAAAGATAAAAAAAATTAATGAAGAAATTCCTAACTACTTTTAAAAATCTTGGTACATTTTCTAATTACCTGGTGAAGGTGGATCTATGTGCATAACTCGATCCCCTCGGTAGAACAGAGCTGGTGTAGCCAATGAGTGACCATGTTCTGTTTCCGGGCGACACCATAGAGCGGCGACACCTCCAGCTGACACAGACCCTCCAGACATCACCACCTCCCACTTTGTGTCGGCCACTAATAGAAAGAATTAAAGATTGGTTAACCTCTTATAACGAAATGGATTCACAGTTCGCAACCCTTAACATTCATCGCGTTTCACAGAGAGCCAGGTTTTACGCGTGCCTGGGACTTGTGACCCAGGTGTGGTTTAACCATAAGACGCAGTGCGAATAAAAATGAGTCCTGTTTAACCTCTGACCATAAAATTTTTCACTCAATTATGAAAGCGATTTTTTACATCTTAGAAAAATGTGTTATGTTTTTTAAAACATTACTAATCATCTGAATGATACCTAATACTTTTTTTTTCAAACAAATGAAAATAGAAATATAATTTCAAATATTAAGTTTCAATTGTCAAATAACTGTTCCTGGATTATTTCACAATTCTATAAAAAGTTTAAAAGTTCTATTGAGACCATTGGAAAATTACTGATGACAATCAAACCAGTTTAGTTCACGCTCTAATAGGTTATCTCAAGTAGAGTCAGGATATCAGCCCCATATTTCAGGATATGTGACATCATTAGCACTCAGATTATAGTTTAAAATTCACGATTGTTTATAACATACCTGGATGTAGTGTGACATCTCTTGAGATGATAGCTCCGTGAGGGTTGGCCGCGCGGCACCTCACCGTCATCGTTGAAGACTCGTAAGAATTCGAAGGAAATACTTCCAATGTACCGTTACCGTATACACGCCTGAACATGTAATTATTTTAATTACTGATTTTTATTTTACCTGTGATGTTCTGGATTTTAGCATAGGATTAAGAGAGAAAATATTAGAAAAAATGATGTGGCAACTAAACACTAGTATCATCTTAAATTTTTATAATTTGAAGGCATAAATAAATAGCTAAATAAATTGTAGCGTGTATTTTATTGATAGACATTATTATCACTTACATGAGAATTACACTTATAACAAAACATTTATGAATATACACTTCGACATCGCATTTGTAACAAAAATGAAATGAATAACACTTAACTAAGAGATATTTTTTCTATATTAAGTACTAATTTAACAAATTGTATTATTTTTAATTATTTATTACTCAAAATATACTCAGCAAGTTCTTTTTTAAATACATTAAATGGGTTTAAATTTTTTATATCTGTGAGTAGTTTATTATACAGTTTTGCACCTTCAAAGGTGATGATTTTTTTGCCGTAATTTGTACGAATCTTGGGTAGAACGAGAAAACTAGCTCGACGTGTGTTACTTTTGCCGTTTGACACTTGTTTCTTGAACGTTATATAGTATGAATATTCCTATTTAGTATTTTTCAAATAAAATTGCAAACGTTGTATACATAAAGATTTTTTATGTTCATTATTTGTGTTTCGTCATATATCTTTTTATTTAAATTAATTAAATGATATACATATGTACTTATTTTACAAACTAAAACATAAACATGAAATATGTATAAAAATATAAACCAATAAAAAACTACATTAGCTTGCATTGTAAAGTATTTTACAAATAAATAAATATATAGATAAATAAATATAAACGTAATATTTATAATGTTACTGAAGTTTTCTCTGATAAATAATACGCCTAGACCAAGTGCTTTAAAATTTTAACTGTTTTACACATTTGTTTTTTCAGCTGTTTAAAGATGATCAGACCTCGAGGGTGTATTTGTTTAGATTGGTTGTCATTAGAGGTGCTGACAATTAGCAATATTATCATCCACATCTCATATATCTTTGTAGATTCTATTATCAATTTAGAAAGACTTAAAGACAAATTGTTTTCCGTTTTTTTCACCCAAACAAGTCACTCAAGTTATAATCAAACGATCAGTTCTGATAACGAGAATTAAAGTCACCTTAAAAACATGGTCAAATAGACGAGTTTGCTCCTTGTAAACACTAGAGCAATAAACATTCAGTTATTCAAGATAAAATGCTAACTACAAATGTCATAATTTATAAAACAATCTGGCACACGATAAAAACTATTCTCAAGTATAACATGGGCTTATAAGAAATGTGGCGGAAATTGGCTTTGCATCTTTATTACATTCTAGGTGGCGCTTAGATTTTTAGTGAGGAGGAGTGTCCCTATAACAACTTATTTATTATATTAAAATCTTTAATTTATGTATATAGAGTAAATAGTTAATATTCAGGGAAGAAGTTAAACAAGTCCTTCAGAATTGTAACTAACAGCGAAGCTAGACTCTCTGTGTCAGAGTGGCTTGAGTTAGATACTGCGGGCATGTTCGAGACAACCCGAAAATGTTATCTTGTGGTGACCAATGGTTAAAATGTAGACATTCTGGGATAATGGCCAGGGAGCCAGTCGTCAATGCTAGCTTACTAATTTGACCCAAAACTGACTGTGGATAGTATAGTCAGGTACTACATCAAATTTCGATCCGGCTAACCTACATGACTCACCTTTTTACATAATCTTGGCTTATAGCACTCAGCTTAAATTTCAAGGCAATCAGATCTATAGCGCAAACAGTTTTATCAAAAACAACCGAACCCACCGTACCAGTTGGCGGCATTACTATGAGGTTTGTTGTTATTCTGCCGTGGTTATGACCTACTTATTACTGCATTCATTCATCAATTAGAAGCAAAACCACGCTCAAACTGTTTGATAATTAACTGCAATAGAACTCTAGAACTTGTAAACTCTTTGGTTATCTCAATTACAATCGCTTCATCAGTTGTTCAACTTTGGAAGTTTATGTATTTGTGTCTCCCTTACTTTGGCTTCAGATATAAGATTTAGTTATACGATTTCTTTTAATATATTTCTAAAAATAAATCCTCAATTTATTCAAATAATTTGTTGGAATTATTACCTTACTATTTATATACTTTTATATTTTTTAACATGATCTTATAAATTTAGTGATGAAATATCTAGAGAAATGTAATTAACCAAGAAATAAATCTACGTCTAAAGTAGACAAAGCGCTTGTAATGACGATAAGCAATAAGTTTTATAAGTTATGGAGTTCTATCGCAGTTTCTTATAAGACAGTTTTTAGAATTGTCGTTAGGGTGGATGCAAATGGACTCCACCGAGCGGGAAGCTTAGTCTCCGTTGTAATTATGAGGACAAATTACGATTGCTGTTCGGTATATTATTCCATGGAGAGATGAATCTTTCTCATTAACGTTTCTTGTTCTTATGACCATTTGTAATATTTCATAAAACATTTTAAGAATTACAGTCATTTGTATCTTGTAACTTTGACGCTTGAAAAGTTTTGTGTATCTTACGAAATTTAACTCAATTATTCAAGACGCAAATAAAAAATTATAAAAGTAATAAATAAGCTGGGAAAAGAATCATGAGTTGGAATTACTTAAATATACTTTACAAAGAGATATAACTTTGCATTGTATTGTAACACAGTAAGTTAGTTTTTAATTTAAATTATTTAAAAGTCAACAGGACAAATATTTATCCTTAATAAATACTTTTACTCGGTATATATTTAGCACAAACTTTAGAAGTTTATAGAAAGAATATACGATTGAAGATAGCTCTGTATTTTTCTAACATTTGTACCGTATAGAAATTGCCATATTATATGTATTTAATTAATTGAGAGTATTCTATCTGGGTTATTGAAACCGAACAAAGGTGGAATTAAACACTGAAGCATTTCGCTAAATATAATTATTAAATAAGATATTTCTCGTAGTACATCAATAAACATCATTCAATATAACATCACTCTTTGTTTAAAATTGCCCTATTCTCAAAGTCTTTAAGTGCTGATTGTCAAGTAATTTGTGATTATTTTCTATTATAATTTCTTTTCTTTTTTTCCATTATACATGTTACTTTTTTAAAAATATTTTCTTTAACTGAATCACAATTTTCTATCAATTTGAGATTCATGACGTTTTACATAAAAATTTAAAGGTTTGTTCTTTCTAAATCAGTTTTTATTCGATTGAAAAATAAAATACAACACTCCTTATACCCTATTCATTACTCTAGTTGATTAATTGAAAATGTTCACCAGTTTATGAAACTCTCCTTTCTTTTATGTAGACCTTCCATTACTGTACTGTATTAATGATTTCAGAATCAACTGCTAGCACAAATGATTCTTTTCGAGAATATTGTCCTCGTATTTATAGATTTCAACATTGGGATCGACAATTTGAACCTAATTTGTCACATTCATTAAATCTTTTTGTGAAGTTTATTGGAAAAGGTTATAAAATGGTATATATAAATAAAAAGTAAAAAGATTGAAAACAAGCAAAAAAAAAAAAATATTAATTATTAAAATTATCTTCAAATTATAATATTATATTCCTTAACGTAATTCATTAACGTTAACTTCTACAATGGATATACAGTTTTACTTAAGAATATTTCACTCATAAAAAATATATTAATTACCTGATCCCTGATGCATCAGTAAGCTGTGAGCCGTCTTCATTGAGCCAGGTGACCCTTGGGGTGGGGTCACCACGGGCTGAACATGATACCCTCGTTCCAGCAGACGCAGCATAGCGGACCACGGCTGGGGGTTCCACTGAGAAAACGGGCCCCAAACGTGGAACACCATTTGATGATACGTCAGCTATTGAATCCACATATACAAAAGAATATCATGTTAGTTACACTATTTATGACTCCAGAACGGCTGTAGGGATATGGTTGGAAACTGGTGGAGAGATAGCTTAGAACAAAGAATCGGAGATAGGATATTTAATTCTGTGCGATCAAAAAAACAAAACTTAATAAATTCCAATATCTGGTTATTTACGGCCTAATTGCGGAATAGATTTCGCGAGGTCAGCTATACATATATTACTAATTCCGAAAAGAATGCGGACGAAGTCGAGGATAAAAACTAGTATTTAATATAATTATCTTGGAACCGTTGGTCACAATGAAAACAGGTACATGGTAAATTCAAATAAATTCTTTATTGGAATCAGAACTTAATAAATAGTTTGTTTACGTGATAATATGTATATATATTTCACATTTGCTTATTACTTCCTTTTGAAATTAAATTGAAAATGTATCGAGGTAACTAGTAAACAAATCGTGATCCAAGGAATTGAGAAAGTCTCTGAGGTTCTCCAATAGAAGCTATTTAGCGAGGAAATTAATATAACAGTAAATTATTTAATATACCTTTGAAATGCAAATGAAACCAATTTAAATTCAAATGAAATAAATCTTATGTTTTATATAAAACACATGAATAGTCTAAGACATTTGTTGAAAGGATACTTAATGAAAATCTTAATAATGGAACTTCTTCCATTTGCCACATAAACATTTTTACATTTAAAAAACTTCTCAAAACCAATTATAAACGATCAAACTGTTTTTTTTTTTTTTTATGTTAACAATAGATATATATTTTGATACACGGTTATTCCACTTTCTTCGTCATGAACCAGCGCTAGCGTTTATATGATTTTTTCTCAAACAACAAGTAACTTTAAGCCACTTAAAGTAAGGGCACGAGTGGAGTTTAGAATTGTTTGAAATGAAAAAAGGTCTCTCTGGTTTCCAAACAACAAACTTAGATGTTGCGATTGTCCTCAAATGCGTAATTTTTCAACTCTGTTCGTTTATTTTGAAATTACTATATCAATAACTTCGCCATTACTTAAGCGAGTCAAAGTTATATTTAAAGTATTCCTGGATAATAATTAAGTTCACGGTTGCTAAATGTAATAGAAAATTATAAGCTTTAATTAAATCTATTCCCATTACCCGTTAGTTCATGAAATGGTTTAATTAAGCTATAACGATATCGCTCCATTGATATAATCCAGCGTGTTGCCAATTTAATTATGAAACTAAAGGCTCTGTATTAAGTTTGCTCCTTCACGAATATTGTTTGGGATCAATGCGAATATTTCTCGATTCAATAATTTCGAATATTATACACATTGAGGTTTTCATTTCCATATCAGGTTTAATTGGCCATTGTTACGTAAAGGGGTTTATATTTTCTTTGCTTTCATTAAAATCCAGTGTATGGTAACTTGCTGACTCCATTACGGTCTCCGGATAGGATATTACTGTTAAAACGTTGATTTTTATATAAAATTAAACAAAAGATTCATGAATTCAACCCATTTATGATTCCGTTACATTGTAAAAATATATAATTTTGTTTTAGATTTAGGCATGTAGCGGTACTGTTGCTCAAAAGATTATATCATTTATTCTATTGTTTTTCATGTTTAGTTTGTTTTCTTTTCACTTTTTTTAAATATACTTTAACGGGTAATATATATTTTTACTTTTATTTCAATTTATTAAAGAACTTTTCTAAATGTTACGAACATATTCCAGAGTAGGCATAGAAATAGAAATAGTTGAAATAATAAGTCTAGATGTAGTTTCTTTAAAGTATCTATGTCACCAATGTTTGTATTCTTCTTGATTTAGTTTTTTATTGTGGTGAATCAAGTTGTAATGTTTTAGTGAATCAAGTTGTAATGTTTTAGTGTGAGATTTATTTTAATATTTATATGTATTTCTCTTCTAGTATATATTTGTATTTAAACTTGTGGATTTATATTCATAATAATTGAACATCGGCATTTAAACCTATTTAAGTTTTGTTTTTTTTTTTTTTTATTATGGCTTATACATACATTATTAGGGAATGATACAAAACGTTAATTAATTATACGTTTTGTCTTTACGAGTACGTAATTGTTTCTTTTATATGTTTTTGTTAACGTGCATCTTTGTATTAAGTAAAAATTTATTAGATTAAACACAAATCATTTTTTCTTCAAATTACTATGAAATATGAATAAAATCTTTATACTCATCCATAACCCATTTATGTTAGATGGTAGGAAGTTACCTATGGTTTCATAGAGAGTATTTTCTTCTGATACATTAGAGGGTTTTACGTAATGTGCATAATAAATTGCTCCTTAAAAACGATTCGGGTATAGATGACCATAACACTTGTCTCGATATTTTTTTTGTGACACGAAAAAATAAACCTTTTGCCACGGTCGAAACACAGATGAATTTAATAAAGGTGACCATGGTTTCAGTCTTCATAGTTTGGAATAATGAACTACTGGTGAGAGAGAGAGGGGGAGGGAGGAGAGAGAGAGAGAGAGAGAAAAGAAAACAATATGACACATTTGTTTGAAATTGACTATACTTCCAAATGAAGAAGACTAGTCAGTCATGACTGACTGGAAATATCATTAACAATTTTAAGGGAAATATTCATAATCCTTTGTCTAAAAGTAAAATAAACACTTTCATTTCATACTTTTCTACATATAAATTAAATAAGTGTCGACACTTTTTTGAAATTAATTTGATTTCAGTTAACATATTTTTATATCAAACTTATAAACTATATCACAGCAAGTTGTTTATAAAGGCGTTGTATATTTGATTCAAGGTTTGCAAATTCATATTTTCATTGTATTTCCATGGTAAAGGATTTATATCTGCCGACAATATTGAATGCCATATCATTGTTTGTCATCCCGGAAAATTGATTTTAAAATCCGATCATCGAAACAGAAAAATATATGGAGATAAAACAAAATAAAATATTAAAGTTTTATTGAAGCATTTATGAAATAAGACTTATTTTTATATTTTTTTAAAGACTTCAATTTTATGTATAGTCTAGATTAATGGTTATGTTATGAGAATAGAACCGTAACTTACTTTCTCTTACATAGTTCAGTATAATATAGGCACATGACATTGGCGAAATCTATACGGAAAATCTACTAAATAAATAAGAAGAAGAACTTACTTGTCAGAAGAGCGAGCGTCAATACAAGTATCTCAAACATGGCGCAGCACACGAAGTATTCTGTTGATAAGAGAAGAATAATTAAGTTGTGCAAAAAAAATATAACGATCTCTATTAAAGAATAAATTAATTACTATATTTTTTAAATAATAAAGACGTTCTCAGTGAAGTTATAAAAAATAAATTATAATATAATATAAATTTACCATTATTCTTAATAACTTCAATTTAATATAAGTAAGATTAACTTACTAGTGTTATATTAGTGAAAGGAACTTCTGTGTTAGGATAATAAAATATAAGTGATGGTAACACGAGCCGATAGGTAACAAACAAACATGACTTTTACGGTTGTAATAATTAACCTTAACGCCTGGAATACATCAACAGCTTTGGATTTACGATCGTATAAAACATAATGGGCCTCCGACCTTCGTATTAAATTACGTATATGTTGTATATATTTAATCAAAATAAAATCAAAAAATCTTTCAAAGTTCATAATATTCATATTAATTATACAATATTAATGAAAATATTTGTATTTAATGTAAAGAAATATAAGTAGTATAATTTCTGATAACTTTAATTTAGAGAACATAAAAGTTATTCGAATAAAATTAAATAAATACATATTAATAAAATTATCTCATAAAAGAGTAAAAGTCTCGTATAAACTATAATATTATTTAAAGAAACACACAAAAAATAAACACTAGTTTGTCGAATATCAACAAAAAAAAACTTAATTTGTTGAAATGTTTTTGCTGAACGATAAAGAATCGCTGTATAGATGATATGAAAGGTAAAGTAGGAGGATTCAAGTAGTATAAATAAAGTAAGAAAGTATTAAAACATATGAATACTATGCAATTATTGCCAATATTAAGTATCGATGAACTTAAGTCATAAATGTTTCCACATGTGTTTTTCGTTAGGTGATATAATTACCAATATGGGTTAGTTCAGTCCTGCGGCTCGTAAAACTATGTAACCGGCTATAACAAGCTAACATCATAGCATCCATTAGCGCGTGTCAGCTGGTTCACTTATGTTGTTAGCTTATGAGCTGTTTGATATACTTAAAAATGTATGTCGTCTTAATATAACGGTGAGAGCACATATAAGACGTAATAATAAACACATATATATGTATATATATATTATGTATGCGATTTTTTTATAAAAAATTTGGTTTTGATTAAATTTTATTTATAAATAATATTGATTTTGAACTTAAAAATATATATATTTGTTTCGAATTGTCTAATCAATTTGTGATGACCATAATGTGGGGTATATACAATATTTTAGATTTTTTTTTTCTGAATAAAATGTAGAGTTTAGTGATGCAGCATATTAAGGCTTCTAGGATTGTAAGCCCGTTAAAGTGTGTAATACGTTGACATGTCACAAGATATCCAAGTAGACGACCTGACTACTTAAAGGTTAATGTCTTTAAATCTACTTAGTGCAATACTTTTCCGCTATTTATTTCGCGAAATATATCCTCTGTAAGTATTTTCCCTAGAAAATAAGAAGCATTTAAAATTTTATTGAAACGTAAACTATAAAAAGTGTTGTTGACCTAGATTATACCATTAATCTAAAGAAAAGTAAAGTAAAGTAAATTCCAGCAAGTAATATCGTTGCCGTCTTCACTTTATAACAAGACTCTATAAAATGAGTAAAATAAATAGGCTTTGTACGTAAAAGTAACAAGCAAGCACTTAGCGGTAGTTTTCTCATTACCGTTATACCGAGGTTTTACAGCTTGAGCTAATACGATCGTAGCACGTAGCTACTGTTGTAGCTTCGTAGCGCCGTAGCACCGTAGCAATTTTATCGTAGCTCTCAATAAATTTCACGCTTCACTGAATTGTGAGACCGCGAGATTTACGATTTGTAATTAAAAGGATTTTGTTTTATTTATGGTTCCGTATGAAAATATTAAATTTGAATATAATATGCAGAGAAAAATATTACTGTTCGTGATAACTTAATACATTTTCGTAAATTAATACAAATGTATTAATAATTCCAATAAATTCTGTCAGATACAAAAATGAAACCAAACGATGTGTGTTTGAATATTAATAATGAATTATAATTAAATAATATTTATTTAACTGCACAATTTTTATTGTTCTATATTTTTTATATTCGGTTTGATTTGACGTCATAAAAAGATCTCAGTAGGTGAATGTATTAAAATAAAGGAGTTTATAAGAAAAATATATTATAGAGTAATTTTCTTTTAAAATCATCGACGCCTAAATTAAAATATGCATTCTAAGGATTCCTTTCACTTATAAGTGGTTTTAATATTTTGTTTTCATATATTATGAAAAGCCTTTGTTAATTTCGAGTTTTTCTTTTCTTATAGCTAGAACTAAACATAAATTTGCCTGAATATTTAAATGCGTTCAATATTTTTTTTTTGCATATATTATTTTTTATTAAAGGCTCAGCTAAAATAATTATAATAATTATATGTCAATAAAGTTATAGTGAAAATGTGGTTTGAAGTATGTATATATACATTTATATGACATTTTTAAAGTCATTTACATTGTTTTAAGGTCGCTTTAATATATACATATATATTATTTTTCATTACATATATATGTATTTCACAATTTGATTGTACAAAAACATATTAACAACCCAACTCTCTTACTAAAATATTGTCATTCAAAATATAAGTGTGATAGAAATAAAAAGTTCGAACTGTAAATATAAATAGAATGCATTAATAAAAATGTTTAATCATTTCATTATGACGTTCTGTATTTTTAAGAAATATAAATGAAATATACGGAGCGTGGTTTTATTAAAAGAAATATTAAAAACATTGGAGAAAATATCGTTTGTATCTGAACATATATTAATTAACTGAAGTAATTTTTCACAACACTGCATCAGAATATACTTCTGATACGGTTATTTTTTTATTTTATTTATGTAATGTTGGCGGGATGAATATTTTTTACTGTGTATGAGTTCTGTTATAAACGAGCTATCGAATGAACGTGTGAAAAATAGAGGTAAATACCTACCTATAAACACCACAATTCTTCTGTAGAAGACAGTGAATTTTAGTTTGAGATGTGTTTAGATTACCGATAATGATTTGATTCAAAACTTTTAGCTACTGAATTAACTGAATATCATTACTAGTTTTTATATTATATATTTTTTCATTAAAACAGTTTGATATAATTATATATTTGCATTGATTGTTAAGGTACTTTAAAAATAATTCATACAAATTGTAGCGTTATTAAAGTTAATAAGTTCTTGTAAATATCAGTAATATACTCGTTCTGTGTTTAATAAATTTTAAAGTGAAGTGTTATTGAAATACAATCGTTGTTTATTATTACTTAAATTTTATATTGTTGATTTTTTAAAATATAACTTTTTTTATCTTAATAAATTTATTTTATTGGTTAAATATTTTATTTGTTTTTGATAGAAATATTTCAAATATATTATTAATTCTTTACAAAAAATTGTGATAATTACTTATGCTATAAGACAAAAGAATTCATAAAATAATTTACATTAAAATACCTCATGATCTCCACAACAAATAACATTACTTATTTTAATACAGTCGGTTAAGCTCCAATACATATTTTATTGTTATTCATAATTTATCACAAGTCAGTACAAATTGGGAACTGCGAACACTAAGAACACATAATCTAATTTAAACACCTTTATAAAGACGTAACAAATTTTCTCATCAAGTTTTTCTTTGTCCGTTCTTTTGGCTTTCATCCAGTCCTGATAATCCGGCGTTAATATAACTGAATGGAAGCCAGAATTCAGAGAAAACCAGTGTAGAATGACCCTTATTTTATTTTATTTGCAAAGTATTATTTGACCGTAAGAATAGTTTTTTTGAAATTCGGATATTTATATAAACATGTTATAATTTTAATTTCAAAAGAGATCATTCGCTTCTTGTTTGATATCAAGAAATTAAGAAGCAATCTAGATCCTATTAAGTTTAAAAAAAGTTTAATTTTGAATGAAAGATATTAATTATATCTTTGTTAAGTTCATGAGGATTTTATTTGAAGAAAGTTAGTGAGTTAGCCTTCGGTTCGTGATGTAATAAAATATCCACCATGTGGTTACATCAATAAAACACATGAATTATGTCTTAAAAACTTATTTAATTTGATTGGAATAAGTATTTTTCATTAAATAATATAAGCCTTGATTTTAATTGATAAAGTATGATTAAAGTTATTTATTATTTTACTTTAATTTATTCATTAAACTTTTAAATAGTGTTGCTTGTGTATTTTTTTTTAAATCACTTCATGTTTTTTAAAGTCAAAGTGTTTACTGAAGTTTTAAAATATAATTTTAAAGAATCCATAATTAACAACTACATAATTAAAACAAATATCAATATAATACTTTTGTAGAACGAATATTTTAAAATATATATTTAGTATTAAAAAATAAATATATGTAAAAAAATGGGTCATAATATTATTAAAAAATAAAAGAATACAACTTAAAATTTACCTAGTGAGTTTCCATGATAATTTTAGTACAATGCACCATAGTTCACAAACACCAACACCTTATACTCGTCACGCTTGTAAAAGTTTATCGTAACACGTCATGCGAACGCCGCACCGATCCCCACATCCGCGCCGGCCACGTCCGCCACCATCCGCGCCTTCTCGCGGACTGACTCGACTCTGATACTTCATCCCTGTGTAATTGTATCTCCTAAGCCCACCCTACGAGGAGATTCAAACAACCTTTATTAAGAAATTATGCCGTTTGAAAAGTAATTTTGTCTGCCTTTGTTTTTCTTTGTTTTGAAATTTTAGTACTTTGAAAGTATTGAGATGTAGTGGTATTCAAGGTTTAAAAATTTTCCGAGAAAAATATGAAGTGGAGTAAATGTAGAATAGAGGTAGAAATTTGTATTGATAGCTTTGCCTCATTATAAAATAAAAGGTTTAAAGATAATTTATTATTTTTAATGTAATTTTTCCGAGTCATAAG